GCTAACATCCATGCCCATCTTCGTCCACTTTATATGGGACGCTGCCACAGCACGGCTTTGACAAGTGGCGTGTTGGTGCATGCCCGGGATCCGAACCTGCGAACCCCAGGCCGTCGAAGCGGAGCATGGGCACTTAACTGCTTGTGCCACTGGGCTGGCCCCCGTGGTCTCTCTAAGAATCTGTGACTATCTGAAAATCATGAAGATACTCTCCCGTTTTCTTCTACAAGCTTTATAGTTTTAGCTTTTACATTTAAGGTTATGACCCATCTCAATTAATTTTTGTGTATGGTGTAAAGTAAAGGCCAAGGTTGTTCTTTTTCCACATAGATATGCAGTTGTTTCAGTTTTATTAGTTGAAAAGACTTTCCTTTCCCCTTTGAATGTCTTCGACGCCTGGTGGTTCCTTTTATCATTCTCATTTCACAAAGGAGGACACAGGTTCAGAGCGAGTCTTGCATTCTTAATCACTGTCTAAGTGCTAGTCTTGACCCCGTGTCTAAAGCTCACAGCCAAGTACAAACCTATCATGCAGTGTTCGTGTCTTCGCATGAAGAGAATCGACTTCCCAGATGGAGCTACCATTTCCAGCACACCGGTGGCCCCATACTTCAATTGCCAGTGCTCCATCTGAAATGAACTCCAGGAATTCTTCTGTTACATTCACCACAAAGTCCTGGGATATGGGAGAGGAAGGAAAGAATGACAAGAATTATGCATAAAAGAATCTGTGAAATTTCTTTTTTACCTTTCAATTGTATATAGATTCACTTTGGAGTATACTGGCCTGATCTCAACCTTAAAACTATCTTAATAACCTTAAACGATGTAACAACTTTAAAACCATAAAGAATCACAGAATATTAGATCTGGAAGGGAAATTATGAGGTAATTTAATTTAACTCCTTTTTCTTATCAATGAGGAAACTGAAGGAAGCAACTTGTCCCACGTCATACTGCTTGTTAGCTAAAGAGCGGAATCTGAGTTCCCTTATTCCTGGGTCACTCTTGGTTCCATAGGACCACTCTGACTTTCAGCTGGCATAGACTAATCAGCACATCAGAAAAAGAACTTCTGATTGTTCCTTGCTATGGCTTAGAAGACTAATAACAGAACTAATTTTATATGATTATCTTCATGACTCAGTGCTCTTGCTCTTAAACTCTCTCACCCCAATTCCTCACTGTAAAAGGTAAACAGGTAAGGGTGAGGAAATGAATACTGAACTGACTGAGAAGTACGGCAAATCACCCAGAACAAAGCAGTAGTCAAGGAACCAAGCAGTTTCCTCCAGCATCTCAGTGGAATCTCCGGTACAGACAACTCTGTGACTCTAATTTCTGGAAAGAGCTGTGCTATATTGATTTAACCTTTTACTATCTACCTTCTTCTTTATTTTATTTGGAGACAGAGCTAGAATTTTGAAAGGAAAATAAACTTAATCACCAATTAGTATAATCTACACATTTTAGAGACCAAAAAAACCCCCTGGTCATACAGTGAATCCAAGGGCTCTGAGACGAGTATTTAGGAAACCAGATGTTAACTAAAATGCACTTAAAGTTCAAGTTTCATCTTCTAAATGAGCAGCTTTATGGATCCAAAGAAAGACAGGGAATATTTAAAAGAGTGTTCAGAGAACAATAACAAAAAAATGATTAATAAAGATTTTGAGAAACAGACTTGGTGAATACAGGTAAAAAAGTGGGCTATTTGTTTTCAGAAAAAGAAAGACTTGACAGTCTTTACATATATGAAATTTTATAGGTGATTATATGGCTTTGTTTTCTAAGTGTAGAACCAGAAAGAATAGGCACTATTTGCAAAAGAAAAGGTTTTGAGTATCTATTAAGGATTATCCAAGGAAAAACAAAATTACACAGAGGCTTGAGTATATCTGTCAGAAGTGGCTTGTTGGCGGTCTGATATGAAAGCCAGGAAAGGTAGCTGATGTCACAAAGTAGGTCCAACCAATAGTCACCAAAACTTCACCTTTCCCATTTTATATTTTCTTTAAAAACTCATATGGTACACTAGAATGCTATGCTTAGAATGCTATACTATATTCAAAAGGATGAAAAATAGCTATAGCAACTTACCTGTTAAGATGTCCACATATATTAAAATAATAAGATGCAATTCTGCAATACGATTATGATCCCATATTTGTAAAAAAAATTTTTTAAGAAGGCATGTCTGCATGACAGTAAGAGTGTGTATCCAAGCCCATTTATGTGTACGAACATGTCTACCACACACATATAGAAGTTGTAGAGAACAGAAAACAGTTTATCAAAATATGTAGCAAACTGTCATTGGTGGTTACACTTCTGGGGAATAAGATTTTGGGTAGAGGTCTTTCAGATTGCATTTTAAATACTTTCAAATTATTTGAATTTGTAATGCAGTAGACTTTGGGGTTAAAAAGCCCAATAAACATACTACGTTTATAAAACATTCTTATGCGGAAAACTTCTAAGTTACAGGTAGAGTTTTGAACCGCGCCAGGTCCACTGCCTCCCGCGTAGCTCGTTTGTAACGGCACCGTACCTTACAGTGAGAGAAGGTCACGGTGTACTGGGCATCCTTGGACTGTGGGGACGGCACCTCTGGGTCCACAACTGGGGCAGCCACTGTAGACTCACACTGGTCCCAGAACGTGTATTGACAGAAGACGAAATTCGAGAGGTTTAAGGGCAGCCCAGTTGCCTCTTTAATTTTTACCTGAAGAGATTAAAAAAATGCAATATAACTCCTATAAAGAAAATATTAAACCATGCATGCTTTTCTTATTTCAACAACCTCAAATTTAAGAGTAAGTGATGAAATAGATCAGTCATCCATTTGACATCTGAAAATACTTGGCACCATTTCAATAAGGGTTCTATCTCTAACGAAATCTGGACCACGGTTCTGTAACCACAGTATATAAACTTGGCAACAAATGCAGACATCCCTCTAAAATTTTCCTAATGACTGAGTTTCTGATGTAGATGCAACCTTTATTAGAAAAGCATGATTCACTAAGAAACATACACTCCTTGCATGTCAAAGACATACAGACTTTTGAAATTTCATGTAACTGTCATCAGAAAGTGTGCTACACTTCTGGAAAAAGTACGGTCCACCATTGTATTTCTTGTCAGAAAGTTGAACTTTTACCATGCTCTATGAAAAACTCACACGATTTTCTATAATATTGTTTTGAGTTAAAAAGGTCATCTATCTGCACCGCCCCATCACTGTCCTCTCACCCGGCATGTCAGTTTTTTGACTCTGTGAATGATTTCCCCGCTGCTGTCCACGACTTCAAGGCTCCCACTTTCACTGGAGTTCTCTGAGGAATCATCCTCCACCACACGCTCCGGCACAGCTCCTGTGACGCGCATCACTTCCACATGGAGGCGCCCTGCAACCTGGGTCAAGGAACCAGAGCACCTGGGAGTTAAGAGGTATCCCATGGACAACACTGACTTGAGACAGAAAGCTCTCTACAACATCCCTGGTGAGCAGCTCCGTAGCTACTGTTTGCCCATTTCCAGCAACAGGAAACTCAACACTCCCAGAGCCAGTCCATTCCATAGCTTGTCCCTCTAATCATCTTGCCTTACTTTAAGCCAAATTTGCCTCCCTGCAACTTGCCTTCGGGAGTCATCTTCATTCTCATCCTTCTTTTGTGGGGCAGCCCATGAAGAGCTTAAAAGCAACGATCATATTCTACTTGAAGTCATCTAGTTTCCATGTTGGTATATTCATTCCCTTAATCATTTGATCAAAATATCTGGCCTCACGGGAATAGCAAAATAAAGACATGGGCTCTGCTGTTAGGGTACTCACAATCAAGCGGGAAAAGACAGACAGGAAAAAACCAAGTAACAACAGCATAGACTAGCTGCTATAACAGAGATATGTGCAGGTTGTTATGGGACAAATTTATCCACTTAACAAACATTTACCAAGAACTGACTCTGTGCCAGGAACTGTGCTAAGTGCTGCGTTATAATAGTAAATGAAACAGACATGGTCACTGGGCTCATGGAGCCTCTATTCTCTCGGGAGTAGAGAAAGGGTATGTAACTCACATGGGGGCTGGGACAGGGTGAAGAAGGGCTCCATGAGGGGGCAAGACCTGTTCCAGGAGGAACAGCATATATACAAAGCCATGAACTTATAAGGAAATGGTTCTTGTAAAACTATTTTTTTTTTTTTTTTAAAGGCTTAAAACTTTCTCACTATCCTGGTGGTTCTCTGGCTAGGTGCTAGTTTATCTTAAAGTTAGTTGCACAGAACTGAATTAAACAATAAGGACTATCCTGAGCATCCTCAGAGTGTTGTAAGTGGTCAAGTTATCTTTCATTACACAGTTTAAGGATGTAATGACTGGAGTGGTGAAGATGACACATGTTCTGGCAGTGCTGCTGTCATCTTAAATAGTGAGGCTCATTTTTAGAGGCAGCTGAGACCCAACTTCCATACAGCAATTGGCACTGGCACCACCAAGGACCTGAGGGTAATTAGTTGATGGTATTTGAGAAGTGAGACAAATATGGAGGAAGTAGTTAAGAGGGAAAGAAAAAGGGAATAAGAGAAATCAGCTAGAAGATAGGGGTTTTAAGCTCTTTTCAATGCTTTTTGAGAATCTAATACGTTTTTAATATGATTTCAGGGGGATTCATGGAACATTCAAAGCCCACCACAGACCTGAGCTTAAGAACCCCTGACTAGGGACTCAGCCACTGAATCCCTTTGCCACAGGAATTGTGCCCATTTTTAAAATGAGAAGAAGCAACTCTAGCCCACTGGTCTTCTAGAGCAGAGCGTTCACAAGGGGGTCACCGCATGTCAAATGTGAGCTGTGTACTTGCACACCACAACTGGAACCTAGGGCTATTTTCCGGGTTCTCTTTGAGCAGAATGGCATCCTATTCTCAGCCTCCTCTAAGAATCACAAAAATTAACTTAGTATTTCAAGTTTGCATGTTATTGAAGGACAAGCTAGGAAATAAGAATGTTACTAAATTTAAAATAATAATATCAGTTGATGAAGTGGATAAAATTAAAAAGTTTGAACTTGAATATTTTCTGAAATGTCTTAGGCCTACAAAGGGCCACTATATCCAAATACCTGAAATATAAGAGTTTAAAAGGGGATAACAATGGGATGGGTAACCCTGTTTTCTTTGAATACTTTGGATTTCAAAATAATCCTCCCAAGTTGTATCTTGTAAAGATCACTCAAGAGCCAGGAAAGAACTCGAGTATATCACAAAGATAGGAGATTAAAAGAGAAATGAATACGGGGCATAGAGCTGAATCTGGTTTCCAAAAAAATTCTAATTTGATGAAAACAAAGAAAAAAATTGTGAACCACAAATATAAAATGTGTTACAATAATGTTTTAAAACCATGACTTAATTTTGATAATTTTTATTGATATTAGTAGAAAAAAGGATGTAGATCCTGACTATTCACCCTAGTTTCTTGATCTACTTTAAGAACATAACCTAAATCAAATAAAAAAAAAACTTGAACAACCATTATTTTCTCCGAGGCTGGTTTATCCTTACCTCCCCCTGCTGGCTGATGATGGGGACTGCATACTGAAGTTTCACATCGCAGAAGAGACACTCCAAGAACACATTAGCCACGCCAATGAGGTTGTGATTCTCTTGTGCTTCATAGAAAGGGTCACCTCGTTTCCCACAGAGTCGCTTTGCCTGAGTGATAGGAAAGGCAGGTGGGCAGACACGTAGGAAACAAAACATCAACTTAAATAATGTTATTTAAGACTAGCATTTAAAAATTTTTTTAAAAAAAGCATTTATCCAAATAAATTAAAAAGAAGTAAAATTAGAACCATGTCACATAAATAAAACAAAATGAGCACATGGGAGGGGCTTGTCAATTGGGGAACTAAGTGATATGTGTGTGGAGGGCCCTTTCTTATTTACTGCCTCATCTTCCCTATCACACCACCAGCAGCCTTTTTCATTTCATTCCCTGTGCTTTGCTTCATTTCCTTCACTGAGTCTTCTTTTCCATTATTGAGTTCTAAAAAGTGGATTCTGCTCTCTAAAATTCTTCTAGCCAGCCATGATCACAGCTAGGGGAGCATTAACATATGCTGATAAATACACAACCCATGCTGGCTCCATCCCAGCTATTTTTCACAATGACGACACAGCGCAAATTTACTTTCCTCCACTTCATTCTACTTGAGATATAGTGAAAACGCAGCTAAATAAGAATATGCTCTGTGTTCTCTTCATCTAGTTACTATCCCTGTGGAGATCACACGTGATGTTAATGTTCCAACATAGCACTCTTTCCAAGATCACTTTTACTCCACTTTTCTAATATAAATGTCCAAAATACAACTACAAATATCCACTGGCACGTGTGTGTGTGTTCTGACAGTTAAATCACTTATACTCTCCGCTTTTAAGGTGATCAAGTCTCCTTTACACTTTGTCTCTTTTACCTCAGGAACTTTTTCCTTCCATTCTTGATAAAGGTCTCTCATATCAATTAATTTATTCTCCAGCTTCTCAATGGTCCAAACTTGGGTGCTCTTTCCTTTCCTCCTCACCTGAATTGCTGGCTCACTCACTATTGCTCCTCTCTGCATAATGAAGACAAACAAAAACAAACAAACAAAACAAACCTTCTTATCACTTTCTGGATTGTTAAAGCAATATAGATTATCATAAAGTAGCAAGTTTGAAAAAAACAGGTAATGCAAAAGAAGATGAAATTCTACCACCTAGGGAATGTTCTGGTTTATTTTCCATATTCTACGTATACTCATGCACACACTTTTTATTTTTATCTCAATCAGAACCAAACAAAAATATAAACTTCCTATCCCAATCTCTCCACAGATTTTATATTATGATCATCTTCTTGTGTTGTTGTGCTGTTAAATATTCTTCATAAACGTGACTCTTAATGGGAACACAGAAACCCATTAGATGAATGTACCACACATTTGACTAATTATCCTACTGTTCAAACATCATGGCTATTTCAAATTTTTGCTATTATAAATGCCACTATGACAAGCATCTTTGTACAAAAAGCACATAAATCTTTATGTACACTTCTATGACTATGGACTTAGAATAAATTTCTCAAAGAAGAACTCCTTGGGCAAAAGACTAAAACCTAGCAAGATAGACGAGATACTCCCCGACTCACTTCTAGCTTGCTTGCGGGAAGGAAAAATGAATAGATGAAAAATGATTTTTTTCAAAGATTCTTCCTGCAGGAAAAATTTTTCAAGTTGAAATGAAACTTCCAAATGGCCTGCAAAGAGTCCTTCCATGTACATAGAGAAAGGTATCATACTAGTCTTCCTTTCTTGTAGAATTCACTCTTAAAATGTTATTATAACAAAACATACACATGTCTCCCATTTCTGAAGGGGGCATTTACATGAAAGAGAAAAGCAGGCGGGATTACTTATACAGTCATGCACTGCTTAACGATGAGGATACGTTCTGAGAAACGTGTCGTGAGTAATTTGGTTGTTCTGTGAACATCATAGAGTGGACTTTCACCAACCTAGATGGTATAGCTTACTCCACACCTATGGTATATGGTACTAATCTTATAGGACCACCATTGTACACGTGGCCCGTGGTTGACCGAAACATCATGTGGCACATGACTGTACATATATTTCTAGTTTCACTGTTTTAAAGAAAGCATTTAAATTAGCAAGTCCTTCAGCCACCAAAATTCTCATATTCTGATCATAACATATCTAAGGGCACCAGTTAAGAAGCATCCTTACCCACAGAAGTCTATAGAGGAAGTCTTAAAAAAAAAAAAAATACTCTGGCTCCCATCCGGATCTCCTCATGGATGCTTTTTGATGTCAGGTTTATATTCTGTATTACAGTATTTACTCTTGTGCATCTTGCTCTCATTCTTACCTTTCTATTGGCACTGAGGTTTGCAGCAGGGATCTGTAGAGTCACCTGGTAGTCGGTGAGTTTGCTCATTTCCTCAGCTAAGAAGTTTGCCTCCCTCACCAAGGTATTAGCTTTAACTAGCTGCTCACGCAGTTTTGCCAGGCTTTGACGGAAGAGTTCATCCCTGTAGTATAGCAGGAAAGGAAATGAGGAAATCTAAAAGAAAAGAAAACTGCTTCCTAGTGAGTCATATTATTAGAAAGTGGTAGAAAACTCCTTTCAGGCAATATTTTTCTTTTTTTTTTTTTTTTTTTTTTAAAGATTTTATTTATTTATTTTTCCCCCAAAGCCCCAGTACATAGTTGTCTGTCATAGCTGCACATCCTTCTAGTTGCTGTATGTGGGACGTGGCCTCAGCATGGCTGGAGGAGTGGTGCCTTGGTGCGCACCCGGGATCCGAACCCGGGCCGCCGGCAGCGGAGCGCACGCACTTAACCGCTAAGCCACGGGGCCGGCCCTAGGCAATATTTTTCAATATACTTTTGCCAAATCACCTCTTAGCCTTCCCTCCTCCCACCAGGATTCGGTGGGCTGTTGGTAACCACTGATAAGGAGAAAAATATGGAGTGACATACCCAAATATCATGTTTTAAATTACATAACATTTGAAAACTACTAGATTTTGATATTGTGATGCAAAAAAGCTAATACAAGAATCCTTCAGGAAAAAGAAATGATGATGATTTTCATGTGCTTTAGGGGTGGGGGATGGGAGTTTGGCAGGTGAAAGAGATCTGGAATTAGAAAGAAGAAAGTGTTTACACAATTTCTTAAGTTGGTAAAAGACAAGAAGCGGGTATTTCTGTGGCAGCAGGAACTCATTTTTCAACTCTCTACATAATCACTTCCTGACAAAAGCTTCTCTAACACCCTGACAGAGTCAAAATCCTATTATATGTTCTCCCAGCCCCACATCTTTTGCCTCAGTAGCATTTATCATAGCTATAATTTTTCACTTATTTCTATAATTATTTGACTAATGTTGTCCCCCCCATCAAGCTGTAAGTGCCCCTAAGGCAGGGACCCTGTCTTTTTTTTGCTTGTCATAACACTTAATTCCTGGCTAAGTGCACGGCCAATTGTAGGATAATTCAAAAAAATACCCACTGAATGAGAGAGAAACAGTATTTCTGGATTCCACTTGCTCTATACCCTATACAGCTTCTCTCTCTTACCATTTGTACACCTCCTGCCCTTACTGAACAGGGAAGTGATGAGTTTGGAACACCCAAACATCTACTCATTTCTCATCACCTTAAAAATGACACACGAGGCACACTGCAAAGATGTCAGTATAAAATGACCTAAAATGTATCACATGTTGATACTGCCTTCCAGCTTTTTCAAAATTACATTATCATTTTTTTCAGTTACTCAGGCTTGATTTTTTGTGTGTGTGTGTGTGTGTGAGGAAGATCAGCCCTGAGCTAACATCCGATGCCAATCCTCCTCTTTTTTGCTGAGGAAGACTGGCCCTGGGCTAACACCCGTGCCCATCCTCCTCTACTTTATACGGGACGCCGCCACAGCATGGCTTGACAAGCGGTGTGTTGGTGCGTGCCTGGGATCCGAACCTGCGAACCGGAGTGCGCGCCCTTAACTGGTACGCTACTGGGCCGGCCCCAGGCTTGATTTCTTTCAGCCAGCTCACTCTTTTCTCTTTTCCACAATATCTAGAAAAAAGCCTTATTGATTTTTCCTTTATAGCACCTCCTACATTTCTCTCTCTCTCTGTTTTTTCATTACCCCTGGTTCATGTTCCTCACACACTCCCAGTAATCTCACAGCGTCCAGCCTCTTCCTCCTCCATGATAAGACAGTCCTTATAAACCCCTTCTTTCTCAGGCCACTCCTCTGCTCAAAACCTCCTCTTCTCCCATAAAATAAATCCCAAACATTCAAGTCTGTAGGCCTCCTGCGTGCCCTAGCTAATAGTTTTGCACTTAATTCTCCCTACTCCTCTATAAATCACCTTCTAGACTAAACAAAACTTCTTGTGTAATCCCCAAAACACATCTTACTCTTCTCCATTGCTTCACATTTGCTTATGCCAACCCACCTATCCAAAACGCCCTCCCCACTTCTCTCTGCCTACCCAGTCTCCACCCTTCAAACCCACTTGAAATCCTTCCTTTCTCTGCAGAAAAGGCTCAACTTCACTGGACTCTCATCCTCTACTAAACAACCACCGCACTTAACTGTGCCCTGTACCCAAATGGCCATCACATTCTTGTTTATTACTCCAATAATTTCACACAATCAATGTTTACTAAGCACCTACCATGTGATAACATAATTTAAGGCACTGGGGATACTTCAGTGAACGAAACTGATTCCTTGGGCCCAGAACTTATTTTCCAGTGGAGGAGATCAACAACAAACAAATAACTATATAAGTGTAACATTTCCTATTGTTGAGTAAAACTGTTTTTCAATTTACTACTATGATTTAATTTTTACATATTTATATCTTAATCTATATTACAATGTAAGTGTACAGAGAGAATAAGATACATCTCTATTTACTTTGTAATTCTCATAAGTGCTTAAATACACTTGATTCTCAGCCCCTCAACATTGACTTAGGTATGAGTCCTTCAACATTTCACAAGCCATCACCATTTACTTAGATATGAGTCCCAGCTTGTTATATAACCACCATCATTCATGACATCTTAAATTTTATCCAGTGAAACCTGGTGAAATCAACATTGTAACCATTCTTATCTTTTTGAATTACATCCCCAAATATCTTTTCTACTCTGTTTGTTTTTAAGAATTTGAGCCTCAAAGAGAATCAATCTGGAATTACGGTAAGTAAAAAAAAATTTTGTGCCATTTAACTAAAAAACACCATAATTAAAAGCAATCTACCTTTTCTATTGCATACTTTTGTTTTTGTCTTTTACAATCTTTAGTACCTAGAAAAGTAAATAAGGAGGATATGTAGAAAGGGTATCAGCGGGTACCATGACACCAATTACCCTCAGAGAGCTGTTGCTTGGAGAAAAGCCACCAGCTCATGGCATATGTGGAAAAGGCAGCTCTTCTGAAAGAGCACCATCTGATAACCTGTGTCTGTTTTACCCAGGCACAGTAAAATATAGAGTAATATAAGTATGATAAATATTCATACTTCAGTATCCAGACAGATGAGCAGGCAGTGGAAAATGTAATGGCCTCTTTTCTCTTGGTTTAGAACAATCAAGTGCATTACTATGACAAGCCTTCTAATGCTGGGTGGGCTTTCCTTTTCTCCTCTTAGGGGTCATCTTCCCTGGATGTGGCTCAAGGTGAGCATCTCACTGCTAGTGAGAGGTGCAGTGTGGTTGGAGTAGGGCCTCTGGAGTCAGCCTGCCATGGCTTTGATCCCACTGCCCCTTTGGGTAAGTCATTTAACCTCTCAGCCTCAGATTCCTCATGTGTGAAATGGGGGGTGAAAATGGTAAAATAACGTAGCAGCTGTGAAGATTAGATGAATATATGCAGAGCACTTAGTGCCTGGCATGTGGTAAATGCTCTATAAATGTCAAGTGGTGCTTTTATTACTATTATTAATTATTTTCATAACACAGGTGTTATTAATGGGACTGCAGACAGACCTGGGTTGAAACCCTGGCTTTCTCATTTACTAGGTGGATGATGGAGCAGGATATTTAAACTGACTGTCCTATCTACAAGACACAGACAATAGTTCCTACAGCATTAGCACCATGCCTAGATTGGGTAAAAACACAACAGAACTCAGCAATAATTTATTGTCTTTATTGTTGTTTTTATTATCATTACCACCATTTCCTCCACCACTACTTCAGTTCTGATATAAATATTTTAAATTGAAAAAATTCACATGTAGTAGATTTCTTAACACTAAAGTTGTATTTAAATAGAATCGAAAGAGAAATAAAAAACAAGAAATGCTTTTATGCTAAAGAATTATTCAAACTTTCTCTGTTTCAATACCTAACAGTCTAAGCCTTCTAACTTGGTACCATTTTTACGGAAGGGTAGAGCAGTGGAAAGGAGTGTCTTCAACAACATTACATTAAACATACTTAGGATAGACGATATATTTGAAAGGAAAAGCCAATTGCTAGTAATCCAGATATGGGACTAAGATTTCCTTCTTTGCTAAGTTTGCCTCCCTTTGACATGCCTCATAACTTCCTCCCCCAAAGCCCGGGACCTTGCCTCTGGGTCTCCTGGGTCCCCGTTCTCACCTCTCCTCTGCCCACTGGGTCACCTTCTGCTGAGCCGTCTGGCTGCTGTAGGCCAGGCGGTCGGGGCCGCTGCTCTGGGGCTGCCTCTCAGGGGAGAGCTGCTGGCGGAGTTGCTCCAGCTCCCGCTCATACATGAGCCGCTGCTCCTCAAGGGCACTCCTCTTTTCTTCCAGGTATTGTTTCTCCAGGACCTGGACCACATTTTGAACTGGGTCTGGCGAGCCAAGAGACAATGCAAAGTGTCTTCAGTGGTGGCTAAGACAGGCAGCCTATCAGTGCTGCTTCTTCCAGCAAGAACCACCTCCTCCCCCAGGATCTGGTCCTTCAATATGTTTCCTGTGAGAGGCCTGAGCAGCCCGGTCAGACGAAATACTCTCAATTTTCTTTTTACTAACATTTTAGCTAAATGCCCTATGAATTTTATTTATTTTTTTCCCCCAAAGCCCCAGTAGACAGTTATATGTCAGAGCTGCACATCCTTCCAGTTGCTGCACGTGGGACGTGGCCTCAGCATGGCTGGAGAAGCGGTGCGTCGGTGCGCGCCCGGGATCCGAACCCGGGCCGCCAGCAGTGGAGCGCGCGCACTTAACCGCTAAGCCACGGGGCCGGCCCTGCTAAATGCCCTATATATACACATTCCACACACCTGCTATGTTATTCTCCTCCACTTGATGAGCTCATCCTAACGTTTAGATAGATCTTTTTTTTTTTTTTAATAATTTCATTTATTTATTTTTCCCCCCAAAGCCCCAGTAGATAGTTGTATGTCATAGCTGCACATCCTTCTAGTTGCTGCATGTGGGACGCGGCCCCAGCATGGCTGGAGAAGCGGTGCGTCAGTGCGCACCCGGAATCCGAACCCAGGCCCCCAGCCGCGGAGCGCACGCGCTTAACCGCTAAGCCACGGGGCCGGCCCTAGATAGATCTTTAATCTACTATAAGCAAATGGTAGAGGAGGAGATGTGATCCTATCCAATGAGAACAAAAACTTCATGAAATGTAGGACAACTTCAAAGACAGAGCAAGATCTGTCTTGCTTAAAATCTTTAAACAAGATTTTATTTTGATGATAGTCAATTTCTGTGCCCATTTAGCGTCGGTTTTGGTATATGGCAAAGGGTTTATAATTGGATTTTAACCACAAAGCTCATTACTCTTGAATATCTTTAACGTGGGAAGAAACAGATTACAGCATGTTTGAAAATATTGGTTGAATATAAGGTCTAGTAATTTCTCAGGTGCTAATTTCCAAAAGGGCAATTCACTTGCAAAAAGAAGAGAAAGAAAGGAGTGGCGGAAGAAGGTAATTCATTTGCAAAAATAAAAGGTTATTACCGATTTTTTGCTTTCGCTGATCTAGAGATCGCTGACATACATGTGGGTGAACAGGTATAGAAATACCAATAGATCTTGCTCAAAGGGTCCATTACTATGACCAGTGGTAGTTGGGGTGTAGGAAGGACTCAGTCCTAAAGGGCTAACTGGCTATGGCAGGACATTAGCTTGGTAACGTCAAGAATGCCACAGGGAAAGATTAAGGCACTGACCACATGTACAAGGGAGAAATTTACTGACATCTCTAAGTGAGTAGACCGTAGGGAACAGTATGTTAGACTACCTGGATGGTAAAGAGGAAAATCATCATCACAGTAAATATTTCCTTGAAGTACATGGGACCTGGAGGAGATGTGTTCATATCCTCAGATTGGCCTGGGATTCACACATTTGCCTGTTATTCAGTGCTGTTTGTGCTGTATTCCCCCATATTGATTCTCAGTTAATTTCCAGGATAAGAGTGGGAAATTAAGATGACAAAAGGAATTTTTATATCACCTGATGATGGCTATTGACTGACTTTTCTAGAAGACCCTGTCAATTTGTGAAACCGACATGTAAACTGTACTAATTTTCTATATGAGCAGTAAGAGAAAAAGATAGCATGTTAGGTTTAAAAAAACAAGATTAAATAATACAACACAAAAAGTAGAAAGCAATTTAAAAAAATCAATAGATATGCACAGTATAGGTGAGTTGTTTTAATAAAAATGACAACCACAATGGCAACAATAATTCTACTAGCTACTGGCTATATCAGGTAGAGGCACTACACCCTTTGCATGCATCATCTCTTGAAAGCCTTGCAACAAACCTAAGGATAACATTCCCATTTTAAAGATGAGAAAATTGGGGCTCAGAAAGGTTAAGGAGCTGACCTAAGATCACATAGCTAATGAGCAACAGAACCAGGCTTTGAACTCAGACCAGAGCTAAATGGCTGGGATAGCACATAAACTTAGTAATAAATTGATGTAGTATTCTTATCTCCAATGTTTTGCTCAGAACTAGTACTCTGTTAAAGAGCAGATATTTTAAAAAAACACTGTTCTTTTCTGATATAAAAATTCTAAAATTTAGCACTCTTTCAAAGCAGAATAGTTTTCTTCAGAGTCCTGACATAGAGTTTCTAAAATATGTTACTTGAAAAGCTGATGGAAAATGAACTCCTAAAAAAAATACTCTTACACAAAGGCAGACCATGGATGGATAAGACCTTTCCCATAGAATAAAAATCTACGTACTCCAAAACATTAGAACTTCTGACGTAGCCCTATAACTTCTCAAAATTTGTAAATAATATGGTGAGATTTTTGAGGGAGTCTGAAGAAATTTTAAACGTAAGGGCTAGAGAAGAACAGTTCTCTTAGAATTTTTAAAAAATATATTACTCAAACAGTATATACATATTTTTTCTCTATTTAGGTTCTAGGTTTAAAAAAGAAAAGACAGGGTCCTCGTCATCCATTTATATTTATATAGAGCCTTATTTTCAAGGGCCCTAACTTAGTGTTTATGAATCTTTTCCAGAGACAGAAAACTGGATACCACACCATTTTATAAAATTATATTCTAGAGTTTTTGATAAAAGACACTGAAAAGATATTTAATCTTTATTTCTACTTGCTAGTCAGTGGTGTGTGGAAACACACATGACCCCAAATGGCTGAGGTAGAGAGGATTTCACTCCAAGGTTCCAGGCCAATGCAGAGGCAATGTGACCGAGGCTGTTTTAAACTGTGTTAGTGGCTGCCATAACATAACATCCCTACCACTCATCAGGCTTTATTAGGTGCCACAAATCAATGTGCAGATATGGAAAAGAGGGCAACTCAAAGCAGCCCTCCCCCCGAGCCTACCACAGTAGAGCCTGGTAAGCCCTGCCCTGAGGACTCTGGGTCTGGCCACACCACACACAGCCTGGGAGAGGTACAAGGGCTGAGGTTTCCTTCTTTTTTTTTTTTAACCTCTGATCCCAACACAAGTCTGGAAAGACTTTTCTCTTAGACATATCTGATGACTTTTTTTTCAAATTAATTGACCATTTTCAAGCCTTTATCACAATACAGCATATTTTTAAACAGATCATCCTACTCAGCAAGTCAATCTGACCCTATGATATGGCCTAGGACAGAAGCCAAAGATTATCTGGCCTATTCTCAAATGACCAATCAACTATTAAGAGATTGTCTAGAGTTTTATTTTTCCCCCATTGCTTTCTTCCTCTTGAATGAACTATTTTAAAACTCAGTGAGCCTGGCGCCTAAGGCCAAGATACCAAAGAAGTAGATTTTTTGGGAAGAGAGAAGGACTGCATTCACTTTGGGCATAACACTTTCTCATTTTTATTAGATTATTCTTTAACCTAGTATGTAAATATGAAATGAGCTCAAACTTACCTATCTGTCCTGAGAATGGAAAAGAGAGGGTGATGGTGGAGGAGGTTGGGGGAATTAATGTGATAAAGAGAATCAGCATTAATTCTCACCAAGAGCTCAAAGCAGTGAATTGAAAGGAAGCAGATCCTTGGGGGAAAAAAGAAGCTTTCAATCCCAGATGGAATAAGCTGGCTCTATGACCCTTCACCAGTCCCTAATTGCTCTTTACTTTGCAGCTACCACTGATTTTGTGAAAACAGATGAGTGTCTCATTCCAGTTTTGAACCCTCAGGAAGAATCCATTAGCATCTACAGATACTAGGTTTTCTTTTACTGTTAATTCAAATGAATTGGGTCTTAGATCATTATTTACTCTAGAGACTTGAAAACACATAATTGTAGTCTATCACTGGGATAATACAGGTGAATATGCATCTAGAAGTTCTATGTCCTGGTCTGCTGTGCTGTCAACAGTAATACAGCCATTAGTAACAGCAGTAATACTACCAATAATATTTTTGTGCTGTTGGGTACATAGGGAAAAGAATAGCTACCAGATTTTACCATTGGGAAGGCAATGGAGTTGGGACATGGGGAGGGAAGGGTCATAACTGAAAAGGGAACAGAGCACCTCCGTCAGGCAGAAAGCTTCTTCCCAATCACATTAGTTAGATTTTGCCAAAGCACGTAGCACAAGCATCAATGAGCAGCACTGCTAAAAACCAGTCAAGCTCCCTCATGCTAATACCAATCAGTTAAAACCTTTATCCCAGTGTTTGTGGAGAAGCTTCGTCTGAAACCACATGAGAGGGAAGAGAATCTTCAAGTAGGACCACCAAGGGGACGACCACCAAGCAGACAGGCTTATTATCGGGAAGCCACCTAGCAGTAGAGGCGAATGGCATGAACGGTGTCTGGCCACCAGCATTTCAGCACTTGTATCAGAGCACGTCTGTGTGTCCCATAGGGAATTCTATTTACCAGTGGAATTGGATAAGGGGTGGGGATGGGGAAACATTAATTTTAAATAGACAAAATCGTCGCTGGAGAACAAGGCCTGATCCAGAATACAAATGGAGAACTCATGTTAATACCATGAGCCAGGCCACTGATGACTAATTGGTTTGGCTAAGAAGACTGGAAGAATTAACAAATGCTTACTAACACTCATTGGTTATTCAGGGGTTTTATATATATATATACACACGAAGGTAGCAATTGGATAAAATTAGAAATCTGTGATGTGGGATGATACATGATTAAATTGATACCACTTGTATACTCCACATAAGTAGAGGACAGAGATGGCTAGAGGTCTGTAGCTTCATCTAAAGAACTCTCTCCAAAAGGGCATTCCTCCATCTGGAGTTTGGAGGCTACACCCTCCTGTTAGATGCCGTATCCACTCGGGGTTCCAAAAAATCACTCACAGAAGACTTATTGCTCAGGCATGTTGTTAAATGAGCCATTAATGTGATTCTGATGTCTGAACATCATTTGGGAATATTTCTTGGGATTCCTCCCAACTTGGTGAGCAAGCAGCAGAGTGGACTGAAGCTTAATTTCTAGCCATGGTCAACCCTGTATTGTAGTGTCAAAACCCCAGTAGCTAATCTTAATCCCTAATCTTAGTGATGTTCCTTTTTGTTGTTGTTCTATACTCTTCATATTAATACACTGCACTTGTTTTTCAATCTGGCCTTTTCTTCATACTCCATTTTTATAATTAAAAAGAGGGGTCGCTGAGGCTAAAAGTCGGTGAATAGAAATAAAAAGGTCAAAATCTCTATTCCTATAACAGAATCCCCAATTTGATATGCCAGAAATCTGACTAACAATTCCCTAGCCATGCTCAAATTCTTTCTAGAAGGGCTTCCTCAAAGAGCAGAGTGAGAAAGCAGCTGCTTAAGGGAAGAGCTCAACTGTGAAAACCAAAATGTTCTCCAAGCACCGTCAGGCAGAGGCTGCCTGTTTAGGGCTCTCAAGGTTCCAGAAGGTTCTCCCTTGGTTTAAGTTCGGGATCCTTAGGTATCTAAACAGCAGATGAATGGGAAAGTCAGGTTGGACAAAGCCCAGAAACCAACTGTCTCAGGCACTCCCGAATGAAGTCTCAATTTCATCCTTATAAAATAGTTCTAGTCCTAAAAACGCTGCCTTGTGTCTGGTAACAGGGGAACTTGCCTGTCCTGCTTCTACTTCCCAGTAATCGAGCCTGGAGATTAGGAGACTGGGAGGTGGGAAAAAGAAGGGGCAGATTTATGAAATAGCAATCAAGGAAAGAATCTGGTGTGTATTTTATTACATGCATGTATGTACAAGGAAATAAAGGACTCCCTTTTAGACACAGAGAGGAAGAACTTTAATATAAACATTGAAAACCTTCTAGAAAGAAGGATCTAGAAATAATGTTTTAAGGAGAACCTCTTCCTGAAAGATCTGAGACAGGGTGGAGTGTAGGTCAAGCAAAGAGCTTATAAAGCCCTTCGTTTTAGTTATCGTTTTTGTTAAAGCTATCTGAGCTTGTTAAATAAGTCTCTGGGGGTATAATTTCCAATTGCGTTTATAGTAAAATGTTGTGATATTTATCTCTCCATTAGACTCTATTTGAAATTCCTGAAGTCATACTCTTTTGGGGATTTTCATACTCTGAAGGATTCAGAAATGATAGGCTCAATAATGGGAAATTTGCTAAGGAATTCCATCACAATCATTCAGTACCCTAGGACCATGGAAATGCTACCACAACTGGAAACAGTGGGTCTCAAGAAAAGGACCATCCACCTGCTGGCTATAGCTGAGGAAGCAGACCATGCCCTGGAATATTTTCACTAGCCCCTCACCTAATTAGTAATTCGATGTGTCTAAATTTCACAATGACACCTTAAGTTTATACACACTTATCCCTCATTGAACAGTGTGAGATAAGGAACTCCCAAGATGATGAAATCCTGAGTTAGGGCCTTACCATTACTATTCAGCGTTTTCATGATAACTTCCATCTGTGCAAATTCATAGTTATAGTCTGGTTCCGAGGAAGCTTCACTGGCTGCATCCAGGTCATGCTCTGGCGGGCCTGTTTCCTTCTCAAAATCTTTCAACCAATCTCGCCGTTTCCTCTTAGGTAAATTAATTCTGTGGGAGTTTTCACCATTAGAGAAAAATCAACTTGTTTTACACTTAGATAACAGAAAAAACGTATATAAAAGTATTAGTGAACACAAAGTTGTTACCTAAAGAAGTGGTTATTTCCCCACAGGATTCTATCACCGTGCCACAGCTGGGTGGTACTGCACACAAGGGTGCCATTTACACAGGACCTGAAGGAACACCAGGGAAGACGTCAGCCAAACAGTCAAGAGCACAGAATCTAGCCCCAGTAGCCAAAGTGATAACTGAGGGAACTTTCTCTTAATAGATGTATTCTAACTAACACCTGAAGAAGGAACAGCAGAATTGTAACCGCTATGGAAACACACAATCTAAGCAATGATGATCAAGGGCTGCCAATATCCCTCAAAGACAGACAACCTGACATGACATGCTCCTGTAGGAGACAGACAAACACCACCACCTATGGAATGTTCTTGTCAAAATTTGAGCTGCATCTGATCAAGTGTCTATAAATAACACTTTAGGAAACACAGAGGGCAATGGAAGATGCTAGATGACGTCAAGGTATGCAATGAGCAAAATGCTGACTACAGGAAACTTTAGGACCAACAACTAGGCATCTTCAACAAACAAAATGCAAGGACAAGGGGGATAAAGTGAGGATCTCATAGGCTAAAAGATACCCAAGAAACATAACAACCAATGACAATGGTTGAATCTTATTTGGATACTGATTTCAAGAAACAACTGAAAAAGAACATTTATGAGACAACTGGGGAAATTTGAACACTGACTGGATATATGATGATTAATAAGAAATTATTGTTAATTATTTTAGGTGCAACAGTATTGAAGCTATGTTTAAGAATACTTGTCTTTTAGAGATACAAGCTGAGATATTTATGGATGCAGAGTTATAACATCTGGAATATATAAAATAACCCAGAGGGGAGAGAGGAGGAGCTATGGAGGGCATATAAATGAAACAAAATTATCTATGAGGTGCACATTTTTTTTCCCCCCAAAGCCCCAGTAGATAGTTGTATGTCATAGCTGCACATCCTTCTAGTTGCTGTATGTGGGACGCGGCCTCAGCGTGGCTGGAGAAGCGGTGCGTTGGTGCGCGCCTGGGATCCGAACCCAGGCCACCAGCAGCGGAGCGCGAGCACTTAACTGCTAAGCCACGGGGCCGGCCCGAGGTGCACATTTTTGAAGCAAGATGATGGATATATGGGGATTTGTTATATTATCCTTTCTATTTTTATATGTTTGAAATTTTCCATAATAAAGACGTGGAGAAAACATAAAAAGAATATCAGGTTTAAATCCCAAATAGCTACCAAAACAAGTTATGAAAACAAAACAAACAGATGGGGGTGGTGAGAGGGAGACATCTCTGGCAGTCTTTGTTATGCTGTATACTGATATATACTGATACTGTGTATATCACACCACAAATGATGGGCACCCTGTGTCTGAGTTTCTGTTGGCCTGTGCATCTTGGACTTGGCTGAAACAAATCCGGAAGGAGCAACCCTGCCCAGTGCCATTTGGAGGTGGTCTTTCAACGGTGCAGTTTTCCTTACACTGCAACTCTGCTACAGCTTACTGCTACCCAGGGGCTGTGAGGTCAGCAGCCTGAGTCACCCACTGCACAAGATTGCGCAGGGTTTCCTGCTTATTAGATCTCAGCAACTGATCTTTTGACACAAAGCACAGTTACTGTGACATCTTTTAGGGGGAAAGGAAACGTCCTCTAGAATTCTTAGTCCTGACAATTTTAGTCTTCTTATAAATATTTCCTTCACTTAAAAAAGAGGTTTTGTTGGTATTTAAAAACAAAATATTAGGGGAAGAATTCATTAATTAGCTAATTAATTAAAGTTTAATTTGCTAAAGGACTATCACATGAAGTTTGGCGGAGAAAAATAATGAATATTATTTAGAGTTTTACTTTTTCAGTGTTTTTTTTTCCATGTAATCTTTTTATCTGGCTCCTAATCTTTATAGGACTAAAGCTCAGAGTTACGGAATACATAGAATGCACATATAAAAATAATCACTCCTTCTTAGCAAGATTTTGAGTCTGCTGGCTAAGTTTTTATTAATAAAAAATCCCTGGAAATGCCATCTTAAATATTTTTGATCTGTCATACATAAACATGATAAAACTTTGGTGTGTATATTTTACACTAACATGTTTCCTTTATTCTTGCCCATCAAAATGACTCTCAACATTGTTTAACTCTAGCTTCAAAAGTCTGTGTCCTCTCTACTTGGAACGATGGACTGATTTACTCATCTGCAAAATGGAAAAAAGAGATCAGAATCTACACGTATGTGGGTGTCTACGTACATATATACGTATGCATATATACACATTTTTGCCAAAAGGATGATGAAAAGTTTTATAGAATACTTATCTCTTCTACCTAAAAAAATCTATTAGTCACTTTTCATGAAAAAATATTTGGCCATTGTTTACCAAAGTATCTAAAAAGCCCTCCAGAAATTCTAGGAATAGCAGTATGATCAATAATAGAAATGCGTCACCCAGTGTCCTTTATTATTTTAAACTATGAATTATGATTTAAAAAAAAATTCAGTTCCTCATTCTCACTAGCCGTATTTCAAGGCTCAATAGTACCATCTTGCTCCTGGCTACTAAAATGATCTTAGCAGACAGAGAACCTTTATATTATCTCAGAAAGTTCTATTGGGCAGTGTTATCATAGAATAAAACTAAAAACAGTTCCAGAGCAAATGAAAGAGGAATATAATAAGTTTTGCCTCTTATACTTATTGACAATATTTGTGATAATATGTATCTTTAGAGGACCTCCCATGTAGGTGTACATACACACACACACACACACACACACACACACACACACCCTTGAAGGCATATATAAACAGATCACTTTGCTGTTTACAGTATGTTCTTATTACAATAACATAAAAAGGAAAAAGTTATAGAAACTGCCTGGTTTGGTAATGTACCCAAGCCAAGAAATTAGCATAAAAAGCAATTTCTAATTGGACACATGCTTGGGGTGCTTGGAAGAAGCAAATATAAAACCTCTTTGCAGGAATTTATGTTCCCTCACCCAGGCCACAAGACTCCTACAGATAAACTTCTGCTGAAAAGGAGCGCATCTAAGAAACCACGAATTGCTTTAGGAAGCAAAGTTATCAGCAGACACAACAAACGGTTGGATTGAAGTCCCAACAACTTCAGAGAACAGAATTTTCAAATAAAGACAACAAAATAAGTAAAAATAAAATTATTAAAGGCATACAATGAAGTAAAAACAAGACTCTACCAATAGAAACTAGGCATACCTAAAAAAGGACTTCCTGAACTTCTACAAATGAGAAATGGGGGGGGGGGGTGAAATGGGTGAAGAGAGTCAAAAAGTACAAACTTCCAGTTATAAAATAAATAAGACATGAGGATTTAATGTACAGCATGGCAACTACAGCTAATAATACTATATTACATTATTTGAATTGCTAAGAGAGTAGATCTTAAATGTTCTCATCATAAGGAAAAAAATTCTGTAACTATGTGCTGTACACCTGAAACTAATATGTTACGTCAATTATACCTAAAATAAAATAAATAAATAAAATGAGAAACAATATCACATATTAATTTTGTTCTTTAAACATCCCCATTTAATGTGTCAAATCTGGCTGTTGTTACGTTCCTCGGCAATTCAATAAAGTTACTAAAATGGAAAAAAAATAGAGACACTGAAATTAAAAACTCAACAGAATAAGCAGCAGGTAAGACATGACTAAAGAAAGAATAAGTGGACCTGAGGATAGATTTAATGAAATAATGACTGTCTCTTAAACCCATGTCTCTCTCTTATGTTCTTAATTCCATTTCCATCTTCGCAACCAAGATTCTCAGTCCACTTCCTAACCTCCCATTCTCTCTTCTTTGTATTTTTCCTTCCATATCCACAACTACATGGTATCTAAATGTCCCAGGGTTGCTAGTGTCTTCCTAATTGCTACATCCAATAAACTTCTTCCTTAAAATTTTCTCTTCCCTTGGCATCCATCACTGTGTCCTGCTGTTACCTCTCTTGCTTCTCTGGCCCCCTTGTCTCAGCATCCTTCATGGACTATTGTTAGAACATCCCTAAAATACTGGTTTAATCCTTTCACTACAATCTAGACCTACTTTCAAGACAGGCAACACTGATAATGCCCAATTCTATATCTTTAGTGTAGTTTCACAGCCCTAAAGCCAATGTTCAAATGATATCTCCACATCAATATCCCAAGGACACCTTAAATTCAAAGTACCCCAAACTGAACTCATCATCACTCACTGCCTATTATCCTTCAAAGCCGTTCCTCCTTGTGTATTCCTTATTTTGGTTTAGTAGCATCACTGTTTAACTCGTCTCCCAAGACAGAAACCTGTAATCATTGCTGACTTCTCCTTTTCCTTTACTGAGTCCCCACCCTGTCTGTAAGCACATGACTACATCTTGCTGACTTTCAAATAATTCTCAACTACATTCTGTTCTTCTCTTCTACTGCCGCTTGCTGTGGTCCCATAACAATATCATAATAAATATCCTAACTGATCCCCCCACCTCCAGTCCTGTAAACGTCCCCCCCTCCAGCTTCCACAGTGATCAGATTTGCAGATTATAAAGATCACTTTAGAAGGAGCACTTATCTTCCTGTACAATAATTGTTGTTTCTTTACATTCTCCTCCAAAAGGCTTTGAGTTCCTATACTTGGGAATTCCCAGGACAGAGCCTGGAGCAAAGTATACTGAATGAATGGACTACTACCCTGGGTTCCAGGAAAGAAAGAGATTGGACAGGGTGCGGAAGAAAGAAGAGTACAATAAAAAAACACGGAATTGGAGTTGAGTATGAGCAAATTTGCTGATTAAAATCATTTTTAGATATAGTGTTAGAAGAGAATATAATCAAATCATCATATACATTTTAAAAATGTAATTTTGTCATTATATCTCAATAAAGCTGGAAAAAAAGAAAAAGTATGAAAAAAAAAAAATCCAGAGCTTCTAATGTAGGGGGATGCAGGATAAGGCTAAAGACTATTTGAACTCGGAATAAGTAAAAATCAAGGAATAGTATCATTTCACCACTAACTATCTTAATTATATCACTGTAACACAAGACCTACAAACTTTCATGAATCATGTATGCTACTATTGTTACTCTTAGTTTTTCATCACTTAGAAATTTATATGGCAGATATTAACAGAATTTAAAATGAATGTAGTTTTCCTCATAAAAATGAGTGTTCTGAATTACAATGTTTTTGTGTTAATGGATATTGTCATAGGACTTCATTTAAACTTTATACCTGATTATTTAATACTTTTACATCGATTAATAGAAATTACAAAGTAAATATATTATCCTGTCAATTCTCAAATTTTTACATATTATAGCCTGGTTTAGGAACTTTTCATACAGTGGAGTTATGTGATTAACTGGTCTTTACACAATGCAGTAACTGAGTAACAACAACTAACATGATTCAATATTTATGTGTCAGGGACTGAGCCAAGTGATTTATATGTTTTGTCTCCTATTAGCCCCATTTACCACATGAGGAAACTGAAGTTTAGACAAAAGAAGTATCTTACCCAAAATCACCCCACCAGTCAAGGTAGAATCAGCCCACCCCAAAGCTGGTGCTCCTAAATGTTGCTATCCTGCTCTCCACAATTAGAAAGTAAATCCCTGAGGACCCAGTGTAGCCCTGACTTCGCTATAATTGAAGCAAGTGGACCGAAAGGGGCAGTCTTCTGAAAATACGGCACACAAGCAATGGTAAGTAGCCATTTACTCTTCTTACCTTGCATTTTCTTTTGGAGTAAGAGAGACCTCTCCATCAGATGCAATATCAATCTCACAGTGCTCAGGCTGAATTCCTATTCCAAACAGCTGGATGTCCTGGGAGGTATCTGCACCCACCCTGGTATGGTCCTAGTAACAGATTATCAAAGAAAGAAAAAAACCCACATGTACTTGTAACTCAACAAAAATTTATTACAATCAGTGAATAATCCAACAGCATAAGCATGACAATATTAAATGAATCAGATGAGAGATGCAAGATATTTGGAGCATTATAAGTCAAAAGCTCACCTTAACACACTAAATTTTAAAAAATATTTAAACATTCAAAAAAAAAAAAAACAACACTGATCAACAGTGATTAGATATTGTTTTAAAATATAAGGAAATTGGACCTGATAGAATTCTGACTCCACCACTTACTATTTATGTGGCCACAGGTAAGTCATTTCACTCTCCAAGCCTTGGTTTCTTTTTTTGCAAAACCAAGACAATATCATCTATTTGATCTATTTAACAAGATCCTTTTAAGGATCACCTGAGTGAACAGCAAAAGTGCTTTGAAAACAGCTATGTAAGGTAAAGAACCACTAAAAGCAGTTTCATAGAAAGTCATATTTTCATTTTTTTTTTTTTTGTGAAGAAGATCAGCCCTGAGCTAACATCCATGCTAATCCTCCTCTTTTTGCTAAGGAAGACAGGCTCTGAGCTAACATCTATTGCCAATCCTCCTCCGTTTTTTCCCCCCCAAAGCCCCAGTAGATAGTTGTATGTCATAGTTGCACATCCTTCCAGTTGCTGTATGTGAGATGCGGCCTCAGCATGGCCGGAGAGGCGGCGCGTTGGTGCATGCCCGGGATCTGAACCCGGGCCGCCAGTAGCGGAGTGTGTACACTTAACTGCTAAGCCATGGGGCCGGCCTGAAAGTCATATTTTCAAATACATAACTTTTAAAATGTGCAAAAAAGCATTTTAATTCTAATACCAATATTACATAGAGTACTGAAGCCTGTGGGTCACACAGTGTACAGATGAGTGTGATTTTAAGTACCTCAAACCTCAGATATAGGAGGACTGTGACTCCTGGTGATTCAGTCTATTTCGCATCTCCTTTGTTTTTTCTATTACTCTAAAAATCATTTAATTGCTGTGCTAATAATATTTCCTTATTCAACAGAGAAAGTAGAAGGCTTGGTCTTTCAAAATTAAGATTTCAGAAACGATTCCTTACCCCTTAATCATTTTCTAAATGAACAGATCTTAAGTCCATGAGTGGACTCTCAACAAGTCAGGGCGATTTGTGCCATATTTATGTCTCTGGAAAAAGTAGAATAAAAAGGATGGAAGACCGAGGCTCCTTGCTTCAATTCTACCTTATTCTCCATTGCATTTTGTATATTCACTACGCAGATTAGAATTCTTAAAAAGGAGCTTGTTTAACCTTTGGCAAGTGGGTAATACCTCTGCACTTAGAGACTTAGGTGTAGGGACAGTGTATATATGCTGCCTTCAAGTCCCCAGGTCCCCAATCCACAATACTTACCAAACACTATGACTACCATAACTCAGCAATCGTGTGTCTGTGTATGATTTAAAATGCCCTGATGGTCAGCTGAGTGCCCTAAATCAGCTGGGGTGCCCCAGATCAATGTCAATCAGGTGCCCTATTTCAAACAGATGTCTTATTTCTCACTTAACAAAATAAGCCAGCATTTCTAAAAGTATGGTCTGAGAACCCCTGGGGTCTCTGAGAACCTTTCAAGAAGCGCGAGGTCAAAACTACTTTAACAAAAATACTAAGGTGTTATTTGCCTTTGTCTCTCATTTTATCACAAGTGTACAGTGGGCTTTTCCAGAGGCAACACCATGTGTGATGATGTCATAGCTCTGAAGACTAATGGGCGGTACACTTACATGTCTCTATTTGCAAATGTTCTCAGTTTTAGGATCAAATACAGCAAATATACACAGATATAACCCAGATATACAAAAGTTCTCTGGAGTCCTCAAGACTTTTTAAAAGAGCATACGTGTGTCCTGAAGCTAGAAAGTTTGAGTACTGCTGCAACAAGCTATCCAGTATGGTCAGTGGCATGCCCTGAGGCCAAAGTGCCAAATCCAAAAGGCCGCATCCCATCTCCACACTTGAAGGGTGATTATGGGGCCAAAAGTTACTTCCTGAGGATGCAGGTTTAGAAGGGATGGATGTGGGAGAACTCAAGCTGTCTAATCTACCACAAGGGTCTGCTTCAGGCTTGTGTTGATCTTGAGATCTCCAAAGAATTACTCAGAAGCATAATGGTGACTCTCCATAGCTTCTCAGGGTCTTTGTGGCTGAACCCAGAGATTCTCAGAATCCTTGTCACATAGCCAGGGACCTCCCTGACACCCTCAGTTGCCCACTTATGCCCCATTGATACTTGCACAGGAAATGAGCCCGAAATGCACAGGCCCAGGGTAACACAAAATAGCTGGTTTTCACTCTCAACGGTAACCACACTGTACTATCCATCCTCTTACTTTTAATGAGGGCTAAGCTGGATACAAAAAGCAAAATCATGGAGACAGGCACCTGGATTCACTTGGGAATCGTACACGAATGATTCAGGATTACAACTATCTATTTATATCATCTCTTACCTTTAAATAATAAACCAGAAGTTCATTGAGAGCAGGGTCTGCGTTCAGGTTGACTAAGTAGCACTTGTCATCCCCCACCTTGATACCAGATGTCTCCAGGGAAATCCCCATACTTTCAAGTTGTCGTTGTCTCTCCTGCGCACCAAAACAGACAACAGCAGGGAACTCTATTTGTTGCTCTATTCACAAGATGTATCCATGGAAAGTTTAAGTCACTATTTCTGGGGACAATGCCAATGAAATGACACATTCTACTCAGCTCAACCAAGTTTACTAAGAGCCTAAAATGCGTGTCAGTGTTATAGGGGCACCAGGGTGAACCCAGACACCATCTTGCACTTAGGGGCTTACGGTCTAGTAGAGAGGATAAGACCACATATCTGGAATCAAGAGAGGAGAGCCCTGAGCCACTGGAGAGGAACAACGTGTGCGGGGCTTTAAAGGAGGGAGATCATGATGGGTTAAGAGATGAGGACAGGCTTCAGGAAGAGAATACATTTAAGATGATTCTTGAAGCATAAGAAGAATTTCAACAGGAAGAAATGGGGGAGTCACAAGAAGAGGGCAGAGTGTTCTAGGGGAAGGGCATAGGAAAGCACAGCAATCATCTGGGCATACAGGATGATTTCAGGTGCCAAGAACTCCTAATAAATGTGGGACAGCAGTAGGAGGTGGGGCTGGAAGAACAGATTGGGCCCCTGTTGCAGAAGGCTTTGAATTCATTCATTTATTCAAGAAATATTCACGTGTTAGGTACTGATCTAGGGCTGGGAATACAACAGCAAACAAAACAAAGTCCCTTCTTTCATGAAAACATATTCTAGTGGAAGGGGATAGATCATAAAAAAACAGACAACTAAAATATAGAATTTCCAATGATGCTGAGCGCGAGGAAGAAACATAAAGCAATGTAAGAGGGCTAGGAAGTTGGGGGGTGTGCGTGTGTGTGAACAATATCTACAAAAACACATAAGCAGAAGGCTAGACTAGGTCCCATTACTACTTTCAAGCTACTTGATTGGGATGGTTCAATATTTACTAGTGGTCAATGAGATTAAAATGTTTATGAAATGCAGAGTGTAGAGATTCATTATACACACACACACACACACACACATTCATGAGACACATTCACATAGAATTAGTCCTTGCTTTATATTTTACCTCAAGTAAAGTTCATACAGCATTTTCTAACAAGCCCAAGGAATCAAATACACTAAAAAAACTATGATATGCTATATGTTACAAACTCTCTGCCAATCAGGTAGCCACATTATTTGCCAAGTGATCTAAAAATCACAAAACAGATTTTTGTTTAAATATGAGAAGCAGGAAATATTAAAGGTATTTCCTGTACCATGCCTGTTCAGTATTCTCCAACACTTTTAGCAATTAAACGGACCAAATTATAGTTAACGAAAGACACAAAGTTAGTGTCTAAAACTGATCTTCGCAGTCTCTAGCTCAGCAGAAAGAGGTTCTCAAAAGACTTTCTGAGGATGACAAATGACTATACAAAAAAGACGGCAAATGAAAAAGAATCACAATATTTTAGGCCTAAATTATCAAGTTACCTGTGCAATTTCTTCTGTTTTCCTTAGCTTCTCTTCCCATGTCACCGTTAGTTCTTTTATCAGCTTTTCAGACTCTTCAAGCTTCTCCTTCAGTTCAGGGGCCTTCATAGCCTTTAAAATGAAACCACAGGGATCTGATTTTCTGATTTTTTTCACCATTATCAACAAGACAAGCACTTATTGTCCTTCTTAAGCAGTTATCAACAGTTTGATGGAAACAAGTTAACGCTGTCAGGATGGGTTTTAGACCTTTATTAATCAAATGAAATGTAAGAATACATGGCTGCTACTATTTAAAGGAGAAAAAGAAATACTAGTGCCCTGAATTAAATTGATACAAATCATTACAGGGTAATTCTATCCATCAAACTTAAATTTCACATTTAAAGACCTAAAAGATGCTAAAGTTCATCCTCAAAATAGAAGAGTAGGAAAAAAGGTTACTTAAGCAGATTTCTTTTTCAATAAGACAGAGATCAACGCACATCACTAATAAATGCACTCCAGTTATATTAACCTACCAGGAAAGGTGAAGATTCTCCTCATTTATTTTAAAATTTGAATCTGGGCCCTTTAAACTACTTTTCTTATTGATGGTGATAAACTTAGCATATTTACTACTCACTTAGAAGCAGGTCATCTGGTTAAAAGAGCAATAATTTCCCTCTGAGTTTGCTCAGTGAGAATAACTAAGGGGCCTAGAAGCAGAAATATGCAGCTTAAAAAATCTGGGGAGGCCTGTACTTGGCAATGATATGCTTTGACACCCCAAAGTAACAAGAGCCTCTCTCCAGTATAACCCTATGAACAAGAAAGATGGTAGAGCTTGGACAAGAAGCTGGAGTGGTGATGACCTGGAGGCCTGCTGAGTATGCCTGAGTCTACAGTGTTCACAGAGCCTGAGAGGGACATTTAGTGCTGGGTACACGGGACACACATGAAAATTCTAGGTGAACCTGCTGTGGTTCCTCTTCTCTTTACTTTGGCCAGACACTGTTCTAGCCATCTGGCCTAGATCATATGGTCACAGTAGAAATGCAGATTCAGAGACAAGAGGAAAGAAATATATCGTCCACCTATAAACATATTCCAGAACCATTACCCTTTCCTCCTAGGATCACGACTCTCTTCAAAGTTTATCAGCATTTTGATTTTTCAGGTGTTTTGCTATCCTTCTTGGAACCAATAAAAAAATTGTGCTTGATGCACTGAATGATGATTATAATAATGACAAAAAATAGCAACATTTATTGAGCACTTATGATGTGTAAGGTGTATTGTGTTAAGTGCTTTCCAGTATCAATGCTACACTAGGGGTCAGGGATGAAAAAAAGTAATAAAACACAGCTTCCTGAACTACAGAAGCCCTTAGCCTGGAAGAAGAGAAAGACACGTAGACAGTTATAACTGCCAGGATCACCAATTAATGGAGTATTCGGATCCCTTCTGCCTTCACTCCTTCTTGTTTGTTTGTTTTAATCTCCTGTTGATTACTTTTTTGATTAGATAAGCTGATAGATAAAAAGTATTTAAACAGTGCCTGGTACACAAGTGCTCAATAAATAATGGCTATTACCTTTTTTTTCCCCCCACACTGAATACTCCCCCAACTAAAGTAGGTTCAGAAGACAGTGGTATGAAGGAATGTGAACTTAGAAGCCTTCGGTACACACCCAAGTCCTGGTCTGTGGAAGCATGTGACTTAAGCTAGGGCACTTCATCTCCATCTCAGTCCCATTACCTATGTCAAATGAGACAGCACCTTGTCCAGTAACCTGCATAAAGCAACAGCTATTTGGAAGAGGGTGTGATTATTAAAGTCTGGGTAAAGCCAAAGAAAGATGGTAACAATGCAAAATTATTGATTTTATTTCCTGCCAGGAGCTGGTAAAAATGAAAAAATAAAAGGAGATTTCTGAATTATTCCTAATGTTTAACTATCCTTCATCACGCTGTCTTCCAGGACTTAACAAGGAGAGGACACACAACTAACTTCTCCGAAAACGGCAAGGCCCTTTGGAAACATAGTCTACAACGTAAATAAAAACAAAACACTTGTTTCTTAGGATTTCACACTGGAAGAGATCTGTGCTCAAAGACCAACTGGTTTACTGAGGCAAACAATTAGGCAGTAGCAGCAATTCTGTCTTGTCTGCTTCCTGGTCTGTAAGTTCCTAGGACAAAAGTCTTGTATTACTCATGCTGTCTTCACAACGCTTAGCAGATGCCAATCAATACAGAAATGTTGAACCACACCAAGAAGCCCTAAAACTGCACGCAAACACGGCCTCAGCACTCAGCTACCACAATGGAACTTCAAAAACAGGGAGCACCAGGCTGATTTTACCTCAGCCTGCGAGAGTTGCTCTCTCAGTTTCTCCACTTCCTCCCGCAGTTCCCGGATGACTTTTGCGTTGGGATCCTCATTCACAATGGCATGGTTGACGATCCTCTTGGCTCGATCTGCATATCGTAACGTGGAGAGGGTCTCTTCATAGTTGTCTGCTGCTGGGCTAATGGTGGCTATCATAGAGGTCTGGCTGTTGCCCCCCAAATTGTCCTGCAAAATATTTCAAATAGCATCTTAAGAAACTAGGCCCATTCCACACACAACACGTATGACCAAAGCAGTAAACGTGCATGTATGACATTCTCTGTGAAGGAAACATGACGTGGAAATGAGTTTGTATTTCAAAAATAATTTCATGACAAGATAAAATGTAGTTTCTCTATTCACAATAAGGAATAATACCTTCAAACAGCATTATAATGGAAAAAAAGGCAATAGAAACAAGTTTTCATTCTGCATTCCTAAGAATTAGGATAATAGTATGGTCAAGAGTTTGCTGTATATTCGGTTAGCTTTGCACACACTCTTCAGCTGTCACCTCTGAAAGAGCCAATCTGTTGTTGGAAACACTAGAACAATGAATTACCTTAAGAAGCCAAGTGAGGACTGAATCTCGATAAGGCACAAATTTGTTTTTACCCTTGCCAGCTGCCTGGTCAGCCAGCGATGATATAACCAATCCCAAGGTTGTAAGCGATCTGCCAAGAGAAAAAATTAAAAATCAGTTTTATGGAATGTCTATTTTGTTTTCATAAAACAATAATCCTTATAGGTAATAAGTATAAATTATGCAGAATAAGGCCCTAAAGTTGATATAATCAAGTCTACATTAATTTGTCAAGAAGCAGAGAAAAATAAAAACAAAAACTCCATTAATTTATTTTTTTTAGAAATATTATTTATTTTTTTGTGAGGAAGATCAGCCCTGAGCTAACATTCATGCCAATCTTTCTCCTTTTGCTGAGGAAGACTGGCCCTGGGCTCACATCCGTGCCCATCTTCTTCTACTTTATATGGGATGCCGCACAGCATGGCCTGACAAGCGGTGCGTTGGTGCGCGCCCGGAATCCGAACCCAGGACACCAGGAGCGGAGCGCACGCACTTAACCGCTACGCCATGGGGCCGGCCCCCAAAACTCCATTAATTTAAAAGAATGCATTTAGAATCCCTGTAAGAATCTATTCTGTTCAGTCACAGGACCTGTGAAACATACATTTCAGAACCTAGAAACCTACATTCAAAAAATCACACTGGAGAATTTTAACTTACTCCAAATATGTTAAAAGTCTGAACCATTTATTTACTCTTTGGGTCTAATGTGAACCATTCTGGCCTCTGACTCTGTTTCCCAGAATAACCCTGTAACTTGCTAAGCCCCCTTCCACTACACATTACAAGATATATCCTGTTCATCCGCTTAAAGCTGGCAAGTTTATTTCAATGTAGAGTTATTACAGTTGTAGAAAAACTGTACGGCTACTCTTTCAACTCCTGCTACACAGCAGCACCGGCATCACCTGAGAGCTGGTTAGAAACCTACAACCTCAGAAGCCTCCCAGGCCTCTTGAATCAGAGCCAGTTAAAGGTATCTCCAGGTCATTCATACGCACATTAAATTTTGAGAAGACTGGTCGAACAATACCCAAAATGTTAAATACATTTAGTTGTCTGCACCAATGATTCTCAAAATGTAGTGCTGGGACCAGGAGCATCAGCATCCCTTGGACCTTGTCAGAAATGCACATTCTCAGGCCCCACCTCAGACCTACTGAATCAGACACTTATTAGAGTGGGACACAGCAATCTGCGCTTTAACAAGCCCTCCAGGTGATTCAGAGGCAGGCCAGAGTTTGAGAAGCACTGGCCTAGGCTAATGAGCCTTCCCTGGTGCTTAATACATGCTCTCTGCGCCTGGCCAAAAGAGTGCCACAGAAACAACAGATTTGTGGTATTGAGGGATGAAGGACATCCTCCTGTGTCACAGTTAAGTTTCAATTGCTCTTCTAAAAGGAAATCAACTAGATTCCAAGTTTAGCAGCCAGAAAACAGGAGCCTCAAGAGATCTCACAGGACTGAAAGGAAGGTTACATGATATCACAAAGAGAAAATCCTTTCTAAATAGGTTAAAAAAATCAAATGTTACTACTTAATTTATAAAAAGGGCACAAATCAGCAAGGAACCAGAGGTTAGCAAGTTAAAGACTAGATAGCTTTCTTTCTAATATTAACAGTAGATTTCCATTAAATGAGTTGAAAGGAAAGAAAGCATATTTCCCACAAAACATAATTCCCGAAACGTGAGTCACTGAAAAGTCACTGAAATACAAAGCAAATTCAAGAGGCAGAAAATGAATGAGAATTTTCATTAACTAACAGCCATTACTGCAAAGTGAAATAAACATGTACACTGTAATTGACAGATTTAAAAGTTAAATCCAATCCAAGAGAAATGAAAACATATGTCCACACAAAAACTTGTACACGAATTTTCATAGCAGCATATTCACAATGTGGAAACAACCCAAATGTCCATCAAACGATGAAGGGATGAATAAAATGTGGTATGTCCCCACAACGGAATATTATTTGGCCATAAAAGAGGAATGAAGTTCTGATACATGCTACAACATGGATGAACCTTGAAAAATTATGCTAATTGAAAGAAAGCAAACATGAAAAGCTACTGTCCTGGGTTGAATAGTGTCCCCCTAAAATTCATGCCCACTAGAACCTTGGAATGTGACCTTATTTGGAAGTAGTGTCCTTGCAGTTGTAATTAGTTAAGATGAGATCATATTGGCTCAGGGAGAGCTCTAATCCAGTGTCTGGCATCCTTATAAGAAGGCCACGTGAAGACACACAAGGAAAACACCATGTGAAGATAGAGACAGAGATTGGAGTGATGCATCTACAAGCCAAGGAATGCCAGCAACCACCAGTAGCCAGGAGAGGTGCATGGAATACATTTTCCCTCTGAGCCCCCAAGAAGGAACAAATCCCACTGATTCCTTGATTTTGGACTTCTGACCTCCAAAACTGTAAGAAAATAAATTTTTGTTCTTTCAAGTGACCCAGTTTGTGGTAATCTTCTATGAAAACACTAGGAAAATAATACAGCCACAGATTATTTGATTCCATTTATAGGAAATATCCAGAACAGGCAAATCTATAGAGACAGAGGTAGTGGTTGCCTAGGGCAGGGCGTGGGGTAAATGGGGAATGACTTGGACACAAGGTTTCTTTTGGGGGTGATGAAAACGTTTTAAAATTAGAATGTGGTGATGGTTGCACAACTTTGAATATAATAAAGCTACTGAATTATATACTTTAAAATGATAAACTATATGGTATGGAATTATTTCTCAATACAGCTATTTAAAAAAAATTCAGCAAGTTCCAATCACCACTCCCAAAGGTAATAATTTTCAGAAAGAAAATTGTGTGTGATATGTAAGAAACAGAGGAAAGTAGGAGTTCAATATAAGGCAAAAACACATTTCTGCTTTAATATAAAATATAGGGCATTTTTCACATTTTGCAACTATTGAAATAAAATTTTCAGTTGGAAACAATTCTTTGAACTATCCCAGATTTTTATTACCCAAATGTAGCAGAATACTTTTAACTCATACAAACTATAAAAAGCCCAGTGACTCAAAAGTTAGTATTAGCAACTTTAAGGTTAACAGTGATCCTTCACATCAAAACACATTTTGGGGTTGTCATGGATTTTTCATCATCGAGACAAGATTTTAGGCCGTCTTGTGGCAACTGCTTATATTTTCTAACTTGACAGTGTAGGGAGTAAAAAGGGAAAGTTTCTAGTACTCTTAAACAATGATACGTAAAATCAAATTAGTGCTTTGAGAGAAAAAGGGAACAGGTGACAGAGTGTGATCAGTGTCCACTGTATGATGTGCACTCTGCGAGCCCAGTACAGCACATAAGTGTCAGACTCAGCTGAGGGGTGGAGCTGGACAGAAATGATTATACGACTCCAGTCTCAGTGTGTACTTTGCTCTATAGCTTATTCAGTTAGAGAAGCTTACCATCAGTAGAAGCCACACCTGTTTACTTATTAGTGTGCCCATATTCAAAACAAGAACTTTATCTAAACCTATTACAATTTCCTTGGAACAAAAAGAAATGAATTGCAGGGTGAGTGGCACTCCACAATGAGTTAGACATAACCAGGTCACCCAGTGACGAGGACTCCATGCCATCCCTCCCTTCTAGGTTCCACTCAGACGCAATGATCCAGGGGCTTCTAAAATCCCAAAAACTGTTTCAAAGTTCAATGTGTGCAAGTTGAACAATAGGCTTACAAATGTTAATGAGAATTTTATGCCCGGGGGACTTAAAAATACAACAAAATCACTAATTATGGATCTTGCTGGCACTGTCTTCTCATGCTGGAGGCAAACGGGCAGCTTACAGGTGTCCAGAAGAGGGTAGGAGGTTTTTTTTTTTGCCAATTTTAGGGGCTGAAAAAGTTATTCCAGGGATCTTTCTAATTCTACCAAAGCACTGCTCCTTCCCTGAACCTACTGGAGGTGGAGATGGTAAGCTTAGGAGAAGCTCCTAATCTTTAAATCTCTTATCACAAGTTCTTAGGTTGGGTGGGAAGAAGAATGGGGAGGGGCTGAGTGGATAGGAAGGAAGTTAGGCTAGGGGAAAACATTTATAAACAGATACCCATATTTTAAGATTGGAATTTTCAAAAATCTACCTATTTATAACAATGGAGAATTCGGATCAAAAAGAAATAAAACTTGGGAGGATCAAAAACAAAATAAAAGTTGCTCCAATAAATACAATCAATGAAAAGATAATAGTCATAATTCAAACTTTTTTTTTTTTTTTTTTGCTTTTCTATACCTTCCTCCAACCTACATAGCTTCTCTTAAAACCCTAACCACCAGATGCCTTCCCTTAGGAGTGGATATGATGTGATGTGAGTTATCTGCCCTCTCTAGAATGGATTTCAAATATATTATCTATTTTTCCAATGATCTTTTTCTAAGATCATTAGAACTTATTAACCTTTATTAAGCTGTATATGTATTTGTCTATCTCTTTCTACTTATATTGTGATCAACTTGAAGGCAGTGACCATTCTAGGCTATACATATTCCGCTGTGCAATTATTGTGCCTGGCTTGTAGAAAGCACTCACTAAGCATCTGCTGAGTGAAACTGAGTCTAGAATACACTGAAGAACAGAACACGGACTTCTTTCTAAAAAGGACTAATTCAATAATGGTTTTAGTACACTCTGCGAACGCTGGTCCAATATCCATTGTTCCCTTCTTACTGGCTAACAAAAACCCTGATTTTATTGTGAAGCACATTGCCCGGCTAAAAATTTCACTTTTCAGAGTCCTCTGCAGCTCAGGGAAGCCATGAAACGCGGTTCTGGCCAATGAGATGCAGGGAGACAGTACTGGGAGGGGCTTCCAAGAAAGCTATTGTCTTCCTGATAGAAAAGGTACATATTTAGCTGACAGAAGCCAGTGGTCCTTCGCCTTCCTCCTTTCCGCTTCTTGTCTGGAACACAGATATGGACAGAATGCCTAGAATGGAGGAGCCATCTTGAGGTCATGAGAACGACATGAACACACACTAAGGTTAGTAGGGCTGTGTGCCTGACAGCATTTCTGAGGTGCCATACCAGCTTCTGGACTTCTTGAGTGAGGAAAATAAACACATCATTTGGTTGTCACTGTAGCTGGTTTCCATTGCTTACAGCAGAATGCAACCCTTGGCTTTTAAAGAATTAGTTCAGGGCCGGCCCCATGGCTTAGCGGTTGGGTGCGCACGCTCCGCTGCTGGCAGCCCGGGTTCGGATCCCGGGCGCGCACCGACGCTTCTCCGGCCATGCTGAGGCCGCGTCCCACATACAGCAACTAGAAGGATGTGCAGCTATGACATACAACTATCTACTGGGGCTTTGGGGGGAAAATAAAAAAAATTAAAAAAAAAAATCTATAAAAAAAGAATTAGTTCAAAGACGATGAAGTTAGTGGATTTTAATTTAGTATGCTTCCCCAGTAAGTCCTCACTCCTAACAGTAAAGGAGAAATGCAGAGAATATGTGTGGCAAAATACGGGGAAAGAACAGTACCATCACATGACAGGAGAGGAAAGAAAACCATTATCCCTAGTACGGGCCTCATTTCCATTCATCACCATTTTCCAGTGGCTGATCCAAATCATTAAACTTAAATAATGTTCACCTAACAAGTTTCATCCCCAGTCTCATTTCCATTTCAATTCCTGTGGTATAATAAAAAAGTATATACTAAGATTTCTAAAAACAGGTTCTTTTGAACATTTGTTCTGGAGATTTTAATAATACGTTATACCTAGAATTCTGTCAACATACAAGTTCAGGGAGTGATCAAGTTATATGGGATTCACTACTGCAGGACTTCTCAGAGTGTTTAGCACTGTAAATCTCCAAAGTAAGGTTTTATAAGTAGGCTTTCTCAAAATTATTTGTCCAAGGATCCTTTTCTTCCCAGAGCCACTTGAGGAACCAGTATTTCAGAAAAATGCTTTGGGAAACACTGAGGTAACAATGTCACATGCCCTAAAAGATGTGGCTACAGCATCCCAAGGAGCAGATTTTTGCCCTTCCTTTGTGGGTCTCTCATGTTAGATGCAAAGACATTTATTCAGATCTTTTTTTCACATATGTGGACCCTGCAATGTACAAGTGGTAAATTAACAAGGACCCCTGCCCGCCCTTGAATAATGGACAGAGCAGGTCATTTTTATTCTGCCTAGGTACAAGTTCATGTTTGGTCATTTAGGCAGTACTCATATTTAAGTGAGGTTTCTGAGGGGAAATGAACAAGAGTCATGGAAAGCACCGAAGAAGAAAAAAGGAGGATCGAGTCACATGAAACAATAGAAACATTATGCTTATAAGTTATTACGACATAAATTACATGACAGAATCCTAGGAGTAACATATATTAAATCCCCAGAACAAGTGTTCAGTAGAACCCACTTTTAGAAATGTTTAGTATATACTTTATTATTAACCACGGTAACTGAAATGGAAATGAGACTGAGAATGATACCCATTGGATGAACACTGTTGATACATTTAAGGACTTGCCACTGCTGAGAATAAAATGGAACTACTTTCAATGATACTCCCAGGGGGTAAGAGAGAAAGAGAGTGTTCCATGATCTAAATGAGTTCTCATAGAAGCTGAACCAGCCAGCCTCCAGCAGCAGGGAAAGGCTTCCTCATTCCACCCTCAGTAGACAGGCGGAGCAGCAGACTGATTTTGCAGATGTTTTCCCCTGTGAAGATGGTCTACAGACGACCTATACCTCCCCAGCCCTGAACAGGCCATGGCTGTGCAGCCACATACTGCCTCAGCTCTCAAATGAAGGAATAATGTGTGCTTTAAAGCTCTTAAGAGCTTAAGGAGAGATGAAGCTCCTAAATCCACAGCCCATTAAGCAGACACTAATGTCTGTGTGAAGTCCCTGACAGGTCTGCTTAAGAGGATTATTAATGTCCCATCAACGGAAGCCCAAACAGGAGGCCGAGAGAAAGCTTAGGAAAGATGTCAGAGATTTCTTTAATTTTAGCACTCAACTGGGCAATGATTTTAAGGCTTAAAAAGCCATTTGTGGAACTATCAGGCAGCAGTGTCAATTTACGATTTATTTTATTAGTTCACACTTATATAGAGCTTCCTAAGTGCTAGGCACTGTCCTAAGCACCTTACAAATAGTAACTAAATTAATCCTCATAACAGCCCTACTCATAGGGTTGTTTCCTCATCCACATTTTACAGCTGAGGAAACTAAGGCACAGAAAGGTCAGACAGCTAGTTTCTGTAAAGAAACTCCAGTATCTCCTCTGGGAAGCCCTCCCTGAACCTTCAGCTGTGTTGTCACTCCTGTTCCCACTGCATCCTGTGTGTAAGTTTCTATGTCACTTAATGTATTAATGCCACCCCTCCAAAGGTCTTCCTTCCCCACTGGACCTTGAACTTCCTGAGGCCAGGGTCCCATGTGACCCATCCCTGTGGTCTTACGCCCAGCGTTCAACATATATTTGATAAGTGGATCAAAAAAGAGCAAGTCCATATCTCTTATCTGAAATCCTCGGCGCCACATGTATCTCGAAATTCAGAATATTTTGGACTTTAGGAAGTTTGGTGCATACACTATACATGATTACCAGTGGGATCTGGGACAGCACCCCATAGCAAGGTATATTAACATTTCTACAGCTCAACTTCCGAAGGGCCATGCTAAATGAGAAAATCAAGACTATAAATGTAGATAAAGACTAGAGATAGCCTCACGAGAATTCAGGCGAGAATATACCAACAAGTGAGCTGTGAAGAAAAAAGAAAAGCACTTGGCTTTTACAGCATTCTGGATTTTGGAATTGTAAGTAAGGGATTGTCGGCCTCTCACTTCTACGAAGATCTCTAAGATAGCTGTGCAGACCTCCGGCACCATCTTAGAGCTTTGTGACCTTTGGGACCTTAACCACTCTCTGCCTTGGTTTCCTCATCTGTAAAATGGGATAACAGATCCATCTCACAATGCTGATGTGAGGATCAGATGAGTTATTACATATAGAATATTCAGAATAGTGCCTGGCACATAATAAGAGGTCAATAAAAGTTAGTGATCATTACATATCAAGGCCAGCCACACTCTAAATTCCCACAAATTCACAGCACAGAATTTCCAGTGTTTTCCCACAAGCCCAGCCAGTAGGCCAAGGACTGGCATGGTTCAGCACCAATAAACAAATCTCCAGGAGGAGTGACAATCTTTTCTTTGGTACCTGCTCCCTCAAACTCTCATTTCTGTTTCCCATCCTGGTTCTTGAGCTCATTTTGGAATGCAGAGCTGTAGTGCCAGCCTGGGCTCCTACAATGCTTTGTCATGAATTATAGCAAAATCCTTTGTTGTGAGAGCAGGAGACAGGATGACTGGAAGATTAACTCCCTAGAGCAGCAGCCTTTGCAGTGAGTGCAGCTGTGTCCATCTGATAGAGAGGATATTTTACTTATAATTTTAAACTTTTGTATATTAAAATTATAATGTGCTAATATCATTTTAAAACGCAAGAAGCACAAACATGTTCCTGAATATATTACCCCTTGTCACTTTCTTTTTTTTTTTTTAATTTTATTTATTTATTTTTTCCCCCAAAGCCCCAGCAGATAGTTGTAGGTCATAGCTGCATATCCTTCTAGTTGCTGTATGTGGGACGCGGCCTCAGCATGGCCGGAGAAGCGGTGCGTTGGTGCGCCCCCCGGGGATCCAAACCCGGGCCGCCAGCAGCGGAGCGCGTGCACTTAACCGCTAAGCCATGGGGCCGGGCCCCCCTTGTCACTTTCTGTCCTAAACAGAATCCCAAGTTATTATGTCCCAACAGAAAAATATTACAACTACAAACTAAACTACTTTCTGCTGAATTTGGAATAATGATAATGATTATGCTGTTTATACAGATTATAAAAATAGCTACAACAATTAATATTTATTCAGTGCATATTACGTGCCAGGCATTGTTCTAAACACATTATGAGCCTTTAATCCCCAACAATTCTATGAAGTAGGTAATATTATTATCCTCCTTTTACAGATGAGAAAAATTAAGCACAGGGAGGTGAAATCACTTGCCCATGACACACAGGTATATCTAGTAAGTGGTGGAGGCAGGATTAAGTCCAACCAGCCTTGCTTGAGTGCGCACCCTTAAATGCAATCCCTGCTCCCTCTCATGTTGGAAAGCAGAGACTTCCTCTTGCATATCAGGAGCAATCCTGGGATATGGCATTACTGCAAAGAACAGGTCCTTCATTTGTCTGTGCCTCTGCTGCACTTTCCACATGAAATGCTTCTATCTCCTTTGTCTACCTGGCAAACTCCTACACATCCTGCGCCACTCTGCTCTCTTTCAGCCTTCGCTGCATCACTGGGCACACCATAGGCACTCAAGGCCAATAGTGAGATTTCATAAGGCAGTTATTTAATAATCATTCAATTTTTTTTGAGGTATTGATGTTGAAACAGTATTAGCCTTACAAAAGGATTCAAACCACATTTTCTTTCCAGAGTAAGCTCCTCAAATCAATTTAAGATATGATTTCATTCACAAAATTGTGATTTGCATTTACCCAAGACTACATTATATACAATGATACATGAAGTGTTTGTACAATGTTTGGGCAGGGCTGCACCATGCAGCTTTACCTAAATAAATTTCATGCATCACAATAGAGGCAGGTGGTTGTCTTTCTTCAACCCAGTTGACTAAAGCTACATAGACTCTGAACCATCTGACCCCTTATAACACAACAAGTTCCCCCAGACACACAAGAAGCCAGATGGAAACTCCGGTTCAACTCTGGAATCGCATGGCCACCTTACTTGTTGATATTGCTGCCTTCTTTCAGTCGCTCTCCGGCGGCTCCCGTTTTAGACACTCTTTCGCTACCCGCCAGGTCTACCAAGCTGACCTTACTGACTTTCTCTCCCGAGTTCTGGTTGTAGGAAACAAAAGAGAAACAACACACATGAATGCAAAAAACACACAGATACCTACATATACGTCAGCACTATAACTGAGAGTAACTGAGTAGCCATCCCGCTACAACAAGGCAAACTTCTCAGGAAGATTTTAAAGGACAAGAGAAGTTATTTGGACTAGCAATTTTGTAGTCAAAATTGTTATGGTAACGTAGCATTTTATTTGCAGCTGGGATGCAAGTACACTTGGCTTTCCAGAATATAGTCAGAAGGCTGGAGATTTTATGTGTCTATGAGGAAACAGTAGGACATGAAGATTCCTGCATATTCAGATCAAATTTCTCTTCTTTTAAAAAAGTGTTCTTTAGGCTAAATGTTGTGGTTTCCTCTTTAATATCCCTTAATGACGATGAGGTAGACTTAGTTGTTTTTAGGAGAATTTCAGTATGAAAGGATACATATTAAAAGCTGTATGGTGACATCATCACACTCTTTAGGCAGTTTACACAAGAAATCCAATTTTTTAAAAAAAGTTATACATAAAGGAAGATCTAACAAATTAAATAATTTAAGAAAAATAGCTCATCTAGTAAGCAGAAGAGGTGGCATAAAATTCTCAGCAACTGAATCCAGCCACGAAACACTTCGCCACTGTAGATATCTTGAGTTCTTGTACAAAGGTTCTACGCAACCCCTCACCCCAGACTGCAGGTCGTAAAGTGTCTGTGTGATTATGATGTTGAACACAGCATGGGAGCGGCTACTTTCTTCATTCATGTTGGTTGCAGCTACTGTCCGAGACTTATTTCCCTCAGACATCAATGACTCAATATCCTAGAGGCAAAGCAGAAGGAAAACATTACAAGCAGAAACACAACAACACAGTCCTGCCCACCAGATGTATGTATTCATTATGATCCCTCTGATGCATTCGTTACCACCCTTCCATAAAAACCTCCCTGCCTCTCCTCCGTTGAGCTTGGTTTGAGCTTCCACCTCCCTCACTGCTTTCTAGTGTATGAGACACTTCTCCCATTCTTTCCATCTCACAATTGTCTTCTTTGTCTGCTAAGTAGCTATTTTTTCCTTTGCAGTTCCTAGGGGAGAGAAGAGCTAATATTTATTGAGCACTGCAGATACTCAATAACGGCAGTTACCTTATTTTATTCTAACTCTCCCGTGCTTAACTTGTACTCCGTATAGCTACTACTGCCTGCTTATTTGCCTCCCTCCTCCAACACTGTGACTCTCCAAGGACAGGGAATGTTCCTTATTCATCTTTGTACACCTGCCTTAGAAGACCTAGAACCTATGGACTCTTATACAATGTTTGATGAATGAACCTTATAAAGAAGTACTTTCCTGATGTTACACACAAGGACACTGAAGTTCATGGAAGTCAAATAACTTTTCCCACATCTAGTAAGAGGTGGAGCTGGGATGCAAATCACAAGCTCCCTAGCTCTTACTAATAAGTGGGATGAGATGGACACTGACCCCAACCACACTGGGCTATGAACCAGGCCCCTTAGCAAAAGTGCTGACTTAGCACCTTTATGCCAGAGCGAGTCTCCATTCATTTCAGAATTTCAGTGTTTCTAAAGTGATGACTGCACTCTATATTTCTGATTTGAGCCCCACTAAAAATGTCTTCATTTAAATGGCTAGAGAGTTACCTCACATGTTAATTTTAGTTATCCTGAGTCTGAGGTGATGGTGGCACAGCCACAACACAGAGAGAGCACAACTAAGTGTAGGGCTGTCTATCATTCATTCACTGGCATTCTTCAGCAACAGAGAGCAGTTTGTTTTATCAGATTTCCAAAGAGATGACAATAAAAATAAGGGCAAAATATCCAGTCAGGACATAAGAAGGCATAAAAATCAAGGAGTAGGAAAAGGAAACAGGCCAGCCAATGGAGAGAGGAGGGATTCAGAAAAATAAAAGAGCCAGAAGAGTGAAAAGTAATGAGAACTAAGGCAGGAGATCCTGTCAAAGAGAAGAGGTTGAATTAACTACCAAATACTGTTTACATTTGTCCAGATTTGTCTAGAAGGACATGACTGGCAACATTAGGGAGAGCAGTTTCAACAGAGTGGTATCAGTGAAAATATACAGCAACTGCACAACGTTGGGCCACAGTGTAAAACCTTCACAACAAAGTAGGCTGCCAAGTGTGCTTATAAGCCCTTTCTGTTTGGAGGTGTTGATACTGGGTTTCTGAGATCATGAATGGTATTAACATGCTATAGGGCATGCACGTAAAAATATATTCAACATTACTTACACACTTTGATTTATTGCCACTTTTTTAATGACATTTTCAAAAAATGACACTTACCTCAAAGCTAGTGACAGCCAGTTGGGACAAACCATCTACATATGGTCCCAAAACTTTATGCTCTCGAACCTTCAGAGACTGTCTACTCCTTTGGGAGGAAGGAAAAAGGAATGAATCAAACCAAACTTGGAAGCTTTTTTATCTTTCTAAGTACTCAGAAACTAATATTGCAATTCCAAAAGAAATTTTTTAATGATCAAAAAATATACTAAAAGCTACTTTATTTGGATTAGGAAAACAGCATTCCTTATGAGAAATGCCTTTTATACTCTGAATTCTATTTAAAGTAACTTACTATTTAAAAAATTCTATTTCTACTCCCAAACAACACAGCAAGCACACAGAATACTAGGTTAGGCTAAGTTGCTTTAGTAGATGAACTTCAGTTTCACATAGGAGGAAAAAAACAAAAGGAAAAAGAAGCAAAGAACATGCCAGAACTGAATTTAACCTTAAGGCTATATTATAAATATGCACATTCTCAGTAAATAATGTCTTAAAGTTTTGACCAAGTAGTGAACAAAATTAAAGTGTTTTACTTTTACTTTTGCAAGTCTGCATTGATTTATGCTGCTTCTGTGTTGACAATTTTATACAGAAGGTGATATTACAATACAGCAATTGTTTGTAGTTACTTATATGTATCCTATATTTAGAATTGGCTCTGCTGGTGATGACTTTAGGGCTCTTTTGAATTTTTAAATGGCAAACCTGGTTTGGGACCCATTTGAATAGCTTATCAGTAAATAATTGAGATTAAAAGCAAAGCTACATATATTATGACCATATGGTGTATGTCACCTTTTTCATGGCATCAGGTATTAAACACCTTTCAGATCAAGAGTCAATGCTTGGCATGGAAAAAAGGAACTAAGAATCACTGAGTGCTTCCAAAAGTCTTAGCACAGACTTAATCTTACAATAACCCTAACAAAAGTAGGTTATACTAACTTTAAGAATGAGGAATTCAGTGTGACAAGGAGCAATTCCGCTGTACTAAACAGGGGCAGACCAAATGCAGGTCCTCAAGAGAGCTACTCTAATGCACAAGATCCAGAACTCAGCTCACTTCACTTACATAACCAGAGATTCTTTAACACTATTCATGAGCAAAAACAGTAAATCTAGCACAATATCAAGTGCTTGTGATGATGTCTAACATCTGGAATTCTTGTACACTGCTGGTGGGAGTGTAAAGTGGTACAACCACTTTGGAAAACAGTTTGGCAGTGCTTAGTAAAGTTGAAGATTCAGTATACTGGGACCCACAATTACACCCCTAGGTGTATTCCCTAGAAACTCCTGCACTTGCATACCAGGAGAACTGTACAAGGGTGCTTAGAGCAGCACTGTAGTGGTAAAAAGTAGAAACCACACAAATGACAGGAGGTGGGATAAATAAATTATGGAATAATCATAGAATGGAATACTAAAGAGCCATAAAAATTAATGCATTATTACTTCATATATCAGAATGAATGAATCATTGACGGGAAAAACAGCAAGTCATCAAAGGACACATACACTATGATGCCATTACACAAAGTTGGAAATTGTGCAAAATTATGTATAAACTCTAAAAAGGAGGATAATGAGAAATATAAAATTCATAATAGTAGTTACCTTGGGGAGGGGTAGGGAATGGAATGGGCTGTTCCATTTATTAAGCCAAACGGTGAGTAGGGCAGTCATTGATTTTACTATTCTTTATATCTTACATGTATTATAAATGGTCTCTCATATGCATTAAATAGTTAACAACTTTAAAGTAAATATAAACATTTCCTGTGATTGGGTCCCTTCCTTGCCACCCATAATTTTGATCTTATATCTTTGATTATACCTTTGATTATATAGCTGCTAAAAGCATTTAAAAATATTTTTTAATGACATGAGAAAGTATTCATTATGTTGCATAAACAATTCAAGACACTGGGCCAGCCCTGTGGCTTAGTGGTTAGGCGCGTGCGCTACGCTACTGGCGGCCCAGGTTTGGGTCCTGGGCGTGCACCGACGCACCGCTTGTCCAGCCATGCTGAGGCGACATCCCACATACAGCAACTAGAAGGATGTGCAACTATGACATACAATTGTCTACTGGGGCTTTGGAGAGAAAAAGGGAAAAAAAGGAGGAGGATTGGCAATAGATGTTAGCTCAGGGCCAGTCTTCCTCAGCAAAAAGAGGAGGATTGGCATGGATGTTAGCTCAGGGCTGATCTTCCTTGCAAAAAAAAAAAAAGTGCAAGACATTGAACTGTATTTAGAGAATGACCTCAACACACACACACACACACACACACCATACACTTGACACATAGGATCAAAATGTACCAAAGTATTAATAATTTATTTTTGAGTGGTGGGATGAAGGGTCATTTTTATTTCTTCTTACATTTTACCTATTTTCTAAATTTTCTATAAATATATATTATTTTTAAATCAGTAAAAATATTAATTAAAACAAGAAAGTAAATGTCCCTTTCCTATCTCTATAAATCAAACTCACCTGCTTTTTATCACCTAGTTTTATTTAAAAAATATTTATTTAAAAAATACAGATGCCTGGGTTTCCCCCTGGGTTTACTGATTCATAGTCCCTGTGGTGGGTGGGGCTCAGGCCAGTGTATCCTTAAAAAGCCCGCCAGTGATTCCAATGCACAGCCCAGGAATAGAACCACTTGCCTCCGCTGGGTCCTTTCAGTCCTTCAACCACTTTACCTCCAATTTAGAGGTTCTGCTTTCCAACATAAAAGGAAGGATCAATACATCATTCTTAACTCAATTTCTATGAATAAACTATGGTGGCAAAACCAATACTGATAGTAAAAACATCTTTTTAAATGGCATATGCAAGCAACCTTATATAGGAATATAAGATAAACTGTGAATACTGGGCACACCAACAGGCTTTGAGGAGCTGAGGATTTCTTAGTAAACGAACTGAAACCAGAGTAGTGATCAAGGGCTCAAATAAATATATTCACTTGCAATTTTAACTTTAAGATCATTTAAAATTATTACCCCTATTCCAAGCTCAATTTCAATCACTAACTTACCCTTTGGGGTCTAAAAGATCCCGAACTTTCTCATTATAAATTTCCATATAGGATACTTCGACTTTAAAAGTCTGTGACTCATTTTGCTCCACAGAGATCCTTTTAAATAAAGCACAACAGAGCCTTGGAATAAGGCCCAGCTGCTCAGCATTGCCCATCATGGAGAAGGATTTTCCTGAGCCTGGAGAAGAGCAAGCAGAACGAAAGGAGGATAGAAGAGGAAGCAAAACGTAACACTTCAACCACATGAGTTTTCTACATGTATCAGCCGCGGCCACACGGCAGAAGTGGCAAACTTCGCCCTCAAACCTGGGCGCTCGGACAACATGGCTACTCTCCTTTCCATTACACTCACAGCCTTCAGTTTGACTCTCAGGGCGAGATCCAGAGGGCACCTCATTTACAGATGGATGCGTACAAATGTAACCACTAAAAATACATAATCTTTAAAAGTATGTATAGTAAATATCAACTATATATTATCAAGTAACATTAACAGTATTTTATCCCCCAAATATTTTATATTTGTGATAGTGCTTTGATATATATTCTCTTGCCTGAGTCTCCTAATTGTCTTGTAATTGACAACAGGCAGTACTATGATTTACTATTATGATTTATTAATTTACTCCCACTTTATAGTTGAAATAATGGTGGCTCAGGGTGTTAATGGCTGAGCCATCAATACATTTTTGTTTTGCTTGTTTCAACCAACTGTGCCACAAGCCTAGGTTTAATAATCTATCATCACTTTTGTACCTTTGTGAAAAGTCCTCTGTACAGGATGATACTATGAGATTGTCTACAGTTTCTCACCATAACACTTATATTGAGAGACTAGTAATTATTTTTCTAGTTCAAACACAGGTTAAAACTATAATTTAGGAAAATGACACCTAATAGTTTGAAACTAGCTTTGCTTATTAACACTGAAATTACTCAATTACCAAAACTGTTGAACCTTCAACAAGAGGGTTACTTTTGATCACCTAACTCAGTTAAACCCAGAGTCAGAAGCATTTTCTGTTGCTTCACAAAGTGTTTTCTATTTCTATGTTTTAAGAAATGCATATTTAATATCATTGACTGTAAATAAAAGCAGCTACGTACCTGTCTGTCCATATGCAAAAATACATGCATTATACCCCTGAAAGGCTTTTTCAAGAATTCCTTCCCCAAGGCACTTGAAAACCACCTCTTGACCTAAAACACAAAACAAATAATAAAAAACTAAAAAAGAATGATTTTTCTTGACATATTTGTATTAATAACTGAGTCTCAGTTATTAACAGCATTCTTTCAATCTAAAAAGATATTAAAATTGTATTGCATGCATACTGTACGTAGAGCTATGCATTAAGAGCTTAACATATGCAATTTTATTTACTCTTCTAAACCATAGCTCAGTACCTGGATCAATTTGTGATTCTACCCACTATTTCCCTCTAAGATATTTCTCTAGGCATTCAAGTTTCCTTTCTGTTGTCAGTGGGCCATATGGAAGCATCATTTAAATTTGGTTTAGTTTCTTCTCATAAGTTAGTATTAAAATGTCATTAAACATAAATTGTCTTATCTCCCCATCTGGATTCTGAGCGTCTGATGAGCAGGGACCATGTTGTACACATCTTGGTATGTGTCTGCACTTCTGTACCTAGCATGCTGCTGAGCACATGCCAAGTGCTAAGAAACTGTTCATTGCTGGTGGAAGTGATGTGCTAAGCACAGGCACCTCTCACTTGTGTCCCCATGGGACGTCTGGGGACAAGTTCTCTTCTGTGAGCCTGTCTACAGCTTACTGAGCTCTTAGGGGTGTTCTGTCATATACTATATATCCTACGGAAGTGTCTGCTGAAGAGTGAAGGTGTGAAAATTTTTTTAAACACTTAAGGTGGCATTTACTACCCTTTGAAATAGGTGACTTTCTAACATTCATTCTCCATTATTAAGAGAAGTAAAATGATATTCTTCCTCTGTGCTCTTATAGTCCTTACAACATTCACTATGACAGCATTTGCAAAAACTACTGGTTTAAGTACCTCTTTCCTCCACAGAAATGAGAACCCCGATTGATGTCAGAGACTATAATCTGTTTATCTTTGTAATCCTAGTGCCTAGTACAAAATCCTTAATAATTCTGTTGGTTGACAGAATAAGTCCGTTTAACCTTTTTATCCTACATGACAATTCCTTTTACATTTGGAAATAATGCAACATAACATACACTTCTGGGTCTATGTTTTTCTTTCATGCCAAGATGGATCTGGTCTTGGCAGTCCCTTGTTATACTCTGGCATAGTATGGCCGCAGAATGGGACTCCTCAAAATGTGTAAACACAAAGCAAGAAATAATATTGTCAACCAGTAGGTTGGCAAAAATAAAATTCTGACAACATCAAATATAGCTGGATTGAGGAAATAGGTATTCTCATAAGCTGCTGGTGGGAGAACAAACGGAAGGAAGGAAGGAAAATTTTTCTGAAGGAAAATTTCATGGCACCTGTAGAAGGGCATATGCCCACACTCTATGCCCCACTGTGAGGCATCTACCCGAGAGGCACACTCCCACACAGGAGCCTTGTAAAAGGATGTTCATGGCAGCATTATTTACAATCCTGTAAGTTGGAATCAGTAAAATGCCCATTAGTAAAAGAGTAGATAAGTAAAATGTGACTATTTTATATGATGGAATATTACAAACCATGTTAAAAAAAACAAATCTATGTGTATAAACTATGCTAGAACTCAAAAACATTGTTGAGTAAAAAAAAGTCACGTTCAGACTGTACATATAATGGAAAAACATGTCAGTGTGTGTGTGTGATATTCATGGGTGTTACAGTAAAATAAATAGATTGGAAGAAAATATACCAAATTTATATAACCTTATTTCTCTATTTCTGACTTCTAACATCTAGCACAGAGCCTGGTACCTAAGAGGTATTCAAAACATATTGGCGGAATATGTGGATTTTTTAAAAGGGTGTAACCATAAGAGGCTTTCCTAAACACACAGGTTGGTTGTGAAGAGTACCTAAAGACGTGTGTGTATGCACGCACACACACACACTCTGCGAATAAAGTATTGTCAAAGTTATTATCCACTAAACACACACTTTCAAGATTGCTTTTATGTTACAGTTAAGTATGATAGAGTCTTGTACTCAGTAAGAAAGTATCTGACCCATCCTGCTGCTGATCCTTTCATACATAGCAATATTGCTTTTCTTAAGTTTTCTCAAAGGATATTCCCTACTTCACATGTGTTCCCAAGGTCCATGCCAAAAGGCAGGCCCGAAATCTGGAGCTGAGCCCTGTAGTGTAGAAGATCGGGAATTAAACAGCCTCTGCTCAGGCTTGTGAGAACTGATCGCGGTCTTCAGCCAGACTCAAGTGCCATTGGAAGGCATTCTAAAAGCACTGCTTTCTTGGCACAAGCAGATGAATGGAGCAATCCTGTTTGATCTTCCACACTGGTTAACCAGCCCCCAGGAAGGGAGTGGGAGGGTGGGGACAAGATGCTTTAAGACTTGGCGAGGTCAAACATCCTGACCGAAATTCATGATTTCAATTCGTATTTAGTAACTTGAAAAAAACGAAGAGCTTGAGTTGATGAAAGGACGCAACTGCAGAGAAGCACTGTGGTCAACAGCTTTTACCATGACTACACAGAGCCTGAAGTTATTAACCAAGCCAGAATTCATATCTGTCCCTATAGCAGGTAGTGAAATACAATATTTCTGGTTTCTGCTCGCAATGCTGAGTAGGCTGGAATTATGAGGAATTATTTGCTTGATGTTCTTTCAAAGGCAAATCACAACGTATCTTTTTCCTTGGTAGGCACGGCCTTTTAAACTAAAGATTATTTGTTGAAAAAAACAAGAATGAATGCTATAAAGCTACATGAAATAGGTTCATGATATGTAAAATGAAAATAAAACCCAACCCAGAATGTGTAACTAATATTGCATGAAAAATAAACCAAATGATCAAAGAATTCTCCAGGATATGAAAATACAAGAATAAATTTCAGTTTAGCCTATGTCCAAATTATTGCAAACATCAAATAGGATATGAATTAATCTATTTAACTTGTATACTTCTATTATTTATGCTACTAAGAAGAAGAGAATTTTTATCAACTGTCCTGTTTGCAATACACTTGACATATTTAATATCATTGAATCCTTGCAATACCCCAGTACAGTAGGTATGGACTGTGATCGATAAAGAGACTGGGGCTCTGACAGGGTAAGTCATTTGCCCAAGATCACACCACCAGCGAGTGGCAGTGCATGGGTCTGTCTGTATTGACTCCTGAATGTTAAGGCTGATGCCCATCCACAATTGGTGACTCATGCTGAGCATAACACCGAGAATCAGCTACTCCCACCTCTGGTCTCCATGGTACTTTTCTTTTTTTTTTTTTGACAAACTCCCAGAACTTATCACACCACACTATTTTTGTTCCATATTTGTCTCCACCATCACATTGTGAGCTCCTTTGAAATCAGGAGTTGTTACATCTTAGCAGAATGCCTGGCACACAGTAGGCACTCTTATTTACTGAATTATCCCTATGTTGACATTGCTGTCTTCAGACTGGAGTGTATTTAATTGGGGGCCCCTTTCCTCTTTAGTGATGATTAAAGCATCAAAATATTGTTTGTTGAACTTAAAAAGAAATATTTAATTGTATTAGAGGTTACACTTTGGTCAAAGTATGACTTTTTGAAATTCTAATGAGCCCCTAAAGACTATAGTAGCCTTTGTTAAATAAGGCACTGGGGTGCAGATAGACATGTCAACATAATATGTATCTACTAACTGGATAATTTTGATAAAAATTACAGATTACACTTGTACTTACACCCACAGTAACCTCCTGGACATTAAAATATATGTGACTGAAGAAAATAAACTAGTCTCTCTGATTTCCACTAAATATATACATATGCTTTTCAAAAAGTCAAGTTCTTTTAGTTAGATATTTACAGTTATGCTTGACAAACAGAATATAATTTGGATTTATCATATTTAATAAAGTTTTAGTGATAACTAGGAAAGGAAAAAATTCTGGGAAACACAAAATGAAAGATGAAAAAACAGAAAACAATTATATTGTGTTTCTGGAAAGAATTTTTCTCCTTTCCATCCTTAAACAGCTATCCTGAAGCACAATTTATAAAAGGATAAATATAAAGATGGTAAAGTCCACATATTTTTAAAAATCTAAGCAAGACTGGATTCTAGAGAAGCTGGAATACATTTTATCACTATGGCTTCACGTTTCAAGGGAAATTTACTCTCTGTTAAGAAATAACGAACGTTTTCCCACCTCTACAAAGATTTATCAACATAAAGCTTTTTTTATAGCTGCTGAGCCTCCCACTGTATGCTTAACTGATACAATCAGTTCTCTATTATGGATATTTGGTTTATTTCCTTTTGCTTTTTTCTGCAATATTTATCCTTAAGTATTTATCTTTGTGTACTTTTCTATTGACTTTACTAGGCAGAACTCCAGAAAACCAAATTACTAAGCCTTCTAGCAACGCATGAGTCCTTTTTTCTATACCCTCGACAACACTGGCTATTATTCTTCTTGGTTTTGACTAATAAAAAAAAAAAAAACTCTTGTTTTGTTAAACTAAAATTTTCCTTTTCTTTGTTTATTGCTCATTTTGTATTTATTCTTTAGTAAATTGGTTATTTGGGTCCTATGTTTATTGCTACAAATCAATTGGTTTAGTCCCTGATCTTTTACTTATTAAAAATGCCCACCATATGTTAAGGACACTAACCTTGGGTCCATCATGCTGACAATATTTTTTCCCAGTGTGTCATTTACCTTTCAGTCTTATGTTGTTCTTTGTCATACAAAAGCTTTTGGTCTTTCATATTCAAATCTTTTTTCATCTTTTCCTTTATGATTTTGGCCTACGGTATGTGTTACGCTTCCAAACTCCTTTTGGATTATTATTACTCCAAATTATATAGGTATTCACCCATATTTTCTTCTAGTTTTGTTGTTTTTGTTTTTTACACTTTTATTTTCAAATCTGAACTCTACTCCTTACCAGCTGTGTAGCCTTGGGCAAGTTCTCGGTTTCTTCATTAGTAAAACAGGTATAATAGCTGTTACCTTTCTGGGTCGCTGGTATGATTTAATAAGGCAATACAGGTAGAGCACTGACCATGGT